ACCTGGCTTCATCCAGCCAGTGGGCTGTCACCACTACTGGTGACACATCTACTACAGAAGGTCTTCAGCCAAAGAACATCAACTGGGACATTCCTCATACCAATATACTCATCAACTGGTTGCTCACCCATCCTGCAAACTGGAGAATCCTTTTTAGTGACAAGATCACAACCATCTCACCACCTTCACCTGATGAGGGGCCAGTGGGCCATAACAAGAAAGAAGTTCAAGCAATTATTGCCAAAGTCATATTCAAGAATGATCCCTACTACAAGGACATGTACATGGCAGGCCCTGCTAAGTTCCAAGTTAGTGTAGGCAACCACATCACTATGTCAGTCTCCTCTTCATATTTTATCTGTGATTTTTTAATGATCATTTAGGCTGAAGGGATCATATCACAAGTGCCATGCATGCTTTAAACAATCAGGGGAAGGCATTATGCCTGGTCATGCAAGCTATGCAAATCTCCATCATAAGTTATCAATCAATCTAGTGGGATCACAGTTGCTGATGTGTATGATTACAGAAGCTGTTCTCAACACTTTACCCTGGTATGACGATCTGCATTCCATCTGGCAGGGAAACCCCTCCTTTGACTCTGACCCAATTAATTCTGAGCTGGACAAAAATCATGCTGAAGATTTTTTAGCCATTGTCCAAAATACATCATCTGGTATGCAGAAGACTTCAGACTTGGGAGTGGGGTCACCTGCCACTCTGGTGGATGAAGGTACCCCTTCAAATACAGGGACTGAGGAAATGCATGGTGATTGAAATCTGGAGGATGGTGAAGTCAATGAGAGGATGCCTCATGTTGGTGATCTAGTCATGAACAAGGGGGATGAATTTGCCAATAGTATCTTTGATCTGGAAGGCATGGACCCTGGCTTTGGAGATGGAGAGGATGTTAACATGGACTTGGTGTCAGTTCATGGTGATCAGGTGTGTTTCTATTGGGACATCACTAATGGATCATTGTTAATGAATCAGCAGTCATATCCTCAGCTGTTGACTCCTGAAGTGCAGTCTCAATTTTCCCTCCCTCACAAGTCTCGCACACCTTTCTCAGATAATCACTCTGCATTCTGCTAATCACCATACCTTCATCCCCCCACTTCTGCCAGAAGTGTCATTTCCTCTGCATCATCATCATCTAGCTCTTCCCACAAGGGGAAGGCTGTCATGAGGACCCTGTGGTCCTCATGATCCAAGACAACATCAACAGAGGCAAGTTCTCTCCCAGTCACTTGCAACAAGTCTCAACTTCAAAGCCAGGTCATCGACTTGAGTCAAGAGGCTGAGTTGATACTAGCATCTTCATCTTCTGGTAAGACTGCACAGTACCTGGCAAAAATGCAGTATATGCTGAAGGATCAGGAGCTTGAGTTGAGGAAGGAGCAGCTCAGGATGCAGTGGAAAGACATGGAGGATAAGCATCAAAGGGAGCAGGAGCTCCAGAAGCTCGATATCAAGCTGAAGAAAGCCAAAGAAAACACCTTCATGAGGGAGGTCAAATCCCTTTGACTCAAGATTCAACTTGCAGAGCTCATGAAGAGTGGCAGCAGCTCTGGCTCAACATCTTCCAACCCCACTGCTTAGGCCAGCCACCCTTCATGATCATGTCTGTTTCTTTTTTTAATCCATTGTTGCATCTTGGCTCAGCTCATCATCTTCTCTGCCATACTTGTGTCTCAGTCCCAGTGCATTGCACAATCATTAAGTACACACTTGCCCTGAACTGTATTACTTCTTCATCTCCCCCATGCTCACCCCAACACTGTATCAAGATGCAATGTAGGATACATTTCATTTGCAGAATGTGTGTGGTATCATAAGTGACTTCTCCAAGGTCAGTCATAAAGCACCTGGATCCTGTGAAAACCCCTTACATACCCTCATTGTCAATGGGTGGGACTTAGCTGATTCCTACAGCATTGCTAGCTATGCTCCTTCAACTTTATATGGTGACCATTTTGGTCTGTTTACACTAGGTACATTCGCACCCCAGATATTGGAACAGCTCATCTAACAGCCTCATTCGAAATCACTGATCTGGTCTTCCCACAGCCTCTCCTATCATGACCATGTCACTGTCCTGTTGGCCCAACCCCTCCTCCATTGCCCACCAACTCAAGGGCTTGATGATGCCAACCATCTCCTCCTCAAAATGAATCACCACATTATGCAAGATGATGCAACACATTACCCAGTAAACTATGACCTTAACATCCCTCTCATTCCAGATTTTCAAGCACAGCTTGCAGAGACTCTGAAATTGATCCTTCAAGGCAGCAAATGTGTGCTCAACATGGATGTGGTGTAGGGAGCCATATACTCCCTGAGGCTGGAACAGGAATCTGTCACTAAATTCCACAGGCCTCTACAATAAACCCATTTTGGAATTTTTCCCACTCATGTCTCCTCCCAACCCCTGTCACCTTCAGAGTTTCTACTGCCCTTCAGCATGTTGCTCAGTCATCAAAACACTGGTCTGGAAATTCTGCATTCATGCAGAGTCACCCAGAATTCAGCAGCCATGCCACCACTCAGTCACATCACTGGTCATCTGTGCCACTTACCTCTAATAAACTCCAGTTTCCCCTGTCACCCTAAATTCTGCAAGCTGGACTTTGTGCCAGTATGCTACACTCTGCCCCCCCTGTGCCACTCAGCTCCACCTCCCACTTGTATGCATACTCTTGTTCTGTTGGAAGATACTCCTTACCATTGTTCCATTCTTACTCTTGTCTACTACCCACCAGACTATTTCATGTGCATCTGTACTTTGCTGATGTCTGACATCCTTTCCTTTATTTTCTGGTCTTTCAGTTTTCCACCCCACCTTACTCTGACTCATACCTGCTTCCCTTGTACTATATAATTCCACCATGATGTCAGAAATATACCCACCCATCTTTTGGAGTCACTATCTGAGTTATTTATGTATCTAAGTGTTCAAGAGTGTCTGCTGCATACTCTGTGTCTACTGTGTCTTCTGTGATTCTGTGTCTCACCTCTGTGTCTCATGAGTCTTGGAATTACTTCTTCATGCCAAGGCCATAACTCAGAATTTTGTATACAAGTCTACTTGTTCCCAATTTGCCTACATCTCTGTGGAATTAAATTCCATGCCCCATATTCAACTCCTCGATCAACCCTACCACCATATTCTATGTCTCCTTCCTGCTCAGCACCCCTTGGGTTGAGCCTAGGGATTGTCCTACAGCTTCCCCCCTAATCGCACACTACCCAGAGGTAGTGTCCCACAGTGGACCTTTCAATGTGATTAGCATGCATACCAGTACAAGGTAAGCATCACCTTAGAAAGATATTTGTTATATAAATTCTGATTGCAAGATAGCTGCCTGCCATTGGGTTTTTTAAAAGGAACAGCACATCATTCCTCTGTGGGATATGCACTATCTGCCCAGGTCCAGTGATCTTCAGGGATAAGGTCTCCCAGTCATGATGGGATGTGAGTACCTTGAAATGCCCATGCATCATGGACACTTCCAGGGTGACCAAGCCCATAGTCAACCACAAGTAGGTTATGCAGCATGATAACAAGCTATGAGTGGTAAGTATTCTGTTTTGCATGCATTGGAATACACACCTGACAATTGAGCAAATACCTTGATTTTCTGTCATAGAAGCTCTCCCCAAATATTTGGGGCTTTTTGAAGAGCAGAATCAATGAGCTGTCTGCAGCAAAGACTCCATTTCTCCATGCCAGACATGTCCACAATTCAGTGAAGGTACATGCTCTTTCCATATCCTCCAAGTTGTGAGGGGGAATATTGACAAATGTGTCATGCTCATCCAGTATTGCAACCATGACCTGATTGGTGAAATTGATCACCAATCCCATACTAACCCCAGCCCACTGGGCCACATCCTCTGGTGATGCCACATTCCCATAATGCCCCACACAGAAAAGGAAAGTTGTGAGTTGAATGGCAACCAGCAACTGATGATTTTCAGAGCTACTATGAAATATTGGGTGGCTACTTATTTGATCAAGGATGCGATCAAAAACTTCTGGCCATACACAAAGGCATCTAAGGAACAGATGAGGGTGATGGTCAGCAAAATGGTCAAGCAGGCTGAGCTGTGATGACTGCATCAATGGTACAGCAGGTTTTTCAAGAACCCATGCATGCTCTACTTCATCCTTCAGAGCCTCAATCACGTTCAGGAGCTGTCCACACCACCTATCCCTCTCAACTATCAAGTATGTATCATCAGAAATGCTGGAGTTGGAATCCATCAAGATTGGAGAGATCAGAGACAGCAGAGTAATGAAGAGGACAATCTGAGATGAATCAGAATCCTCATATGTTGCAGTTGAATCACTATTATTGCTACTATCAATTTCATGATGTGCATTTTCCAGCCTGGCCATTGCTACTTCCAAGCTAGCTTCATCAAGTTGTCTGAGCACATAATGTACCTACTTTGTACCATATCATATGACCAAATGAGGTTGACAATCAGCCATGTTGCACAGACTGGCTAAAGTCAAGCCCACCTCTGAGTTGTCATCATGCCACACATCATAACCATGATCATTGGATGTCACCATACTGCACAGTGTGGCTGAAGGGTTACTTCTATATACATCTTGCCTGGATAATCCTGGCATGGATTCTGGCAAGTTGGGAAAGGTCTGGTACTAACCTGGTCTGGGCTCACTGGCATGAGCCCAGCATGTGTCAGCAATTGCAAGTGGGTCAGAAGGCATTCCACTGTAATTCTATTGGGTTGGTATGAATGCCAGGCTAATTCCAGTAAGCTGGGACAAATGCCAGGATAATGCCAATAAGCCAGCAAACATACTGGTCTTATGCTAGTGGGCCAGCACAGATGCTAAGGTGGTGATGGTCAGTTGGCAGGGATGCTGAGCTAATTCCAGTTGGCTGGTATGGATGACAGCCACCACACTATTTCCAGTGCATCAGAAGGCATACCAATGTACATCCATTGGGCCAGTATGAGTTATGGCCACTTCTAGTATGCTGGGACACATACTGGCCTTATGCAGGTGGGCCATGATGGGTGCCTGGATTATGGTGGGTAGTTGGAATATACAGCTAGCCAGCTTGCATGCCAGTATTAGTAAGTGGGGACCTGTACTGGTATAGTGCAAATATGCCAGAATAGATGATAAGCTGGTGGTGGTTTGTGGGCATGGACACTCATCTAATTCCAGGTGGGCCAGATGGATCACAGCCTCCAGGATATTTCCAGTGGTTTGGAAAGCACACTAGTGGGATTCTATTGGGCCAGTATGACTTCCTGACATTTCCAGTGAGCTGGGATATCTACCAGGCTGAATCTAGGGGACTGGCAGGGGGCCAAGGCTGGTGACAGTTGGTTGGCATCAACTTCTAACTAACTCCAGTTGGCCAGGATGGACCACAAACTCCAGGCTATTTACAGTGGTTCAGAAGGCATTCCAGTGGGATGGTATTGGGCCAGTATATGTTCTGGCCAAATCCAGTCAGCCAAGGTAAATTCCCAGTTGACGACCATGACCTGGAACACCTATCTTCCATAATATAGTGGGCTGGAACAGGTCCAGGGCTGGTGGCAGTTGTTTGGCATCAATTCTGAACCAACTCCAGTTGGCTGGGATGGATGACACCCTCCAGGCTATTTACAGTGCTTCAGAAGGCACTCCAGTGGGATTCTATTGAGCTGGTATATGTTCCAGCCAAGTCCAGTCAGCCAGGTCAAATTCCCAGTCAATGACCATAACCTGGGACACATACTGGCCTTATGCTAGGGGACTGGGACAGATGCCCAGCCTATGGTAGTTGATTGGCATGGATGCCCAGTTATGGCCACTTAATGTTACTGGTGTAGACAATGGGCTAGTCTTTTGGCATCCCCTGGTGAATGGATGAGCCATACAAATAGTGTCCCATATATATTGGCTCAGCTGGGAAGCTATTGTCTATGGGGCTTATATATCAGTGGCCCATGTAATAAGGCTTGGCTGGACCTGCAGTGTTCCATTTGGAACAGTAGGAGCATATTTCAGTGTACTGTGCACATCAGCCTCAGCCCAAATAGGAGTTCCCATGTACAATGGAGGGCTTATAGTCCATTGTACTGTGTCCTTGGGGTGGGCCCAGATATTATGATCCTGTAGGACAGGCTGGACGAATACTCCAGTGTTTCATGGTGTACAGGAGGCCCACAATATGGTGTCCTGTCTGTCTCAAATCAGCCCATGTATTATGATCACCAATCCATGTGGTCTGGCACATATGCCATGGTCTCATGCACAACAAGCAAGCCAATCTCCCAGTGTGCTGTCTGACTGGATTTGGCTTGAGTTGAAGTGTTCTGCCAATTACAGGCCAGCCATAGTCGATATTTGGGAGAGGTATATGGAACATAACTTGGCTTGGGATGGCATATAATATCTATAGAACTACCTTTACATGGACCCCCTATTGGATAGGTGTAGGTTATATGGAATGTCCCACTGGACCTGCAGGCATCAACCAAGTCCAGACATTCTGAACTCTCATCCAATCCCCATGGGGTATCCCTATCCAATTGTGTGTGTTGTCCCTCATGTAGTACACAAAGCAACATCAGTTCCCACCCACAGAACTAACCCCATGTCAAAGAAGCTAGCTGGAAAATGCAACTACAGTGCTGGGGTTGTAAAGGAACTGAAGGCCAAGTGTGGGGATATCCAATACACAATCTTCATAATTGCCAATGGTGACCAGCATGTCATACCAATTGGACTGTGAGTGTGGGTCCTGGTGAAAGGGTGTGGTCCAGTGTGAGTCAAAGTGTGGTTCAGTGGTGAAAACCAACCAAAACCAACACAAAAGACAAAAAGAGTGAGTGGTGGTGTGCCTATGTGGTACCTAGATGGTAGAACCTGTTCTTTGGGAGGGTTTTTGTGAGCTATGACACTCAAAGATGAGTACTGAGGGTTGGGGGTGCTCCTGATGAAGAAGAAGCAGGAATGTGAGAGAATGCGATAGGATAGACTGCTGTCAGCCTACAGAAGGATGGATGACAACTTAATTCAATGTCCTAAGCTGCACTGAGCTCAGGGAGGGCTTGGAGTGAAGTATATTGATGATAGACAAGGATAAGCAAAGTAGATGATAGTTAGACCCTTAATAAAGTCTCAACTATCAAAGCTGCTGAATGAATTACTGAGTGATGATAAAATGCGAGCAAGAGGGGCTCTCTGACATCTTCTTTTTTTATATCTAAGTACAGTGATTTATATACAGTACAGGGGTGTTGCCCTTGGAAAACAAGGTGCAAACACTTGGTAAGTGATTGGTAACTGATGAGTAAGGAATGTAAGTGATGGGTAACCATCTCAGAAAGCATTGGTAAGCTTGGTAAGTATTGGCAACAGGTGAGTCAAAGACAGTCAGAATGTCAAAGTATGAGTCAAGTAATGTCAGAAACTGGGAAAGTGCACTGGAATCGCATTAGGGGGAGGCTGTGCATGTCACATCTCGAAGAGATCACTTCTAGGCCAAGGTGGGATGACAGAGAGGCAGTGCTGATCTGATGCCAATATAGTACATCCAAAAGTGGACAGGGTGAGTCAGATGTCAACAGGGGTCAAGCTTTGGGGGTCTGTGGGGTGACAGGAGCATAGGGGATTGCAACTTTCCCCCCCAAACCATCCTCTCAGGGAAGCAAATAAAAACTTCATGAATGAGGCTCTGTTGGAAGAGAGGATGAAGGGGGAGTGTCCTCTGCTGTATCTTGCAACAAGGAGGCAAGATGTGCATCATACTCATCATGGATGTGATCAGGGAGAGCGGAGAACAGTAGATTATACTGTAGCTGTCACAATCTTGGAAGAATGATGGACAAGACTGTTATGATGACATTGCAGGGAGCAGGGAGGAAGGATCCATATGCTTCTTGGACCAGAGAGACTGAAATGACCACATAAGACCTTTCCAAGTGAATGACAGACCTGAGGCAACCAAAGAACGTCCTCCTAGAGGTCATACTGACAAAAAGAACACACTGTCCAAGCTGGATGGACTGAGAGGGCACAGATGAGGGTGGGATGTACCAGGATGCTTCAGGACAGAAGCTGGTAGGAACTCCTGGTAGATATATGTAGCCATGGTCCCTAGCAAAGGGGACAAGTGAAATGATTGATGTAGAGGCAGCCATATCAGAAGAATTTAGTGAAATGAGCATCTTTTGGAGGGAGTACTGTAGAAATGTGTGGAGTGTGCAAATCCTTTCCAATTCCAGAAGGTAAGATTGTGTGGCTGAGCACTACAAGTGAGTGTGGGAATGGTCTTGGTATCTGCAGAAATGGTGGAGATATGCTGAAAACTGGAATGCCGTACATGGGCACTTAAGAATTTTAGCCAGCACTTAACTCACTCCCTTTCTTTTTTTCTGGCACTGATGACTTGTTCTTGTGTGAGGGATGACTGCCAACATTCCTGGCTGTCCTTCTTTGCATGAGGGCTATGGTCTTCATCTCCATTCATCAGCTGTATCCATGTCCACCTCACCAAACACCTTTGGTGTGTGACACCAGTTAGAGATTATGGAGACATTAGTAAAAACTGATGGCCAGTGCTGCAAGGCATCCTGCATATCTTGGTTATGCTGACTCAACCATGTGTCCAACGACTGCATGGCTTGCCTTCCAGTGTCATACAGGCCTGGGTGCATAATCAAAAGTGCACTGGAGAGGATGGCAGCTGGGAGGTAAGACCACCAGGACCATTCACAACTGGCATCCATCTGTAGGTCAGTGGAAACTGATGGGGAAAAGTTCATGGTTTGGATGCCACTTGAGAGACATACCCCTGAGGTAATATAACCATACCATATGCCCCTGTTGGTGCCTGGCCAGGGAAAACTCCAGGCACCCCAGTGACTGTGAAGTGTGATTGAAATATTCAGCATTTTTCCACCAGGAGCCACTTGTCATACTCTTGGACATTGCATGGTGAAGGGGGTCCAAAGTGGCAAGCATGTGTGTCTGCAGGGATGTGTGAATAATATAGAGTGTAAAGGAAATGTTTGAACTGACTTGCAAATCATTGGTGATGGCACTGGGAAGGTACCACAATGCAATGGTATTGCCAGTACCAAGGATTACCATAGGTTCATCCACAAAGCTGGTGAGACTTGATGGATGTGCTGCCAGGTGGCCTGCCTCCTGGGTTTTATCAACCCCCAATTCCATAGCTGAAAGGTGCTCAGAAAGCCAGATCAGATCAATGCCACTTTGCTCTGCAATACAATTTACATTTGACTTTACATTCAGCCAGGACATCAGCTTACTTCTATTATTGTATGCTGCATGCATCCTGGCCACTATCTGATTCATAGTGACAATGCCATGTGTTGGAATGTAGTGTGGAGGATCTGGTTTGGGGGCATTTGTTCCTGGAAAGGTTTGACTGGAGAATTCCCAGTGCATATAGTGTGTAATATCCCAGGTGGTGCTGTGATTTATTGCCATTAAGAACAGAAGATGATATAGCAAGCATGGTGTTGATGATGGGTTATCTGGTAGCTGTAGTGTGTAGTATGGAACCGTGGCTATGTATGCCAGTGTTTTCCGGACCATAGTGAAGCTGCCATGGTTATATGGCATTGGTAAATGACCATTCCAGCCTTCAAAAACAGGTGCCACCATGGTGGCATAGTACCTCCAGCTTCCACATATTATTCCAGCATGGTATGGGTACCAAGATAGAGGCAATAGATGGCCAGTTCTGCTATGGCTCCAGTGCTAGCTACACTTCCTACCACACTGGTTCCATTTCATGGTGTTCATGTTCCTTTATACACCATGCCAAAGCATTAGATGATGGACCAGGGCCTTTCAACCTAATTTCATACTCCACAGCCATTGAGAAAACACAATGCAGCCTTTTCTAGTACAGGTCCAGCAGTGCTGGTAATGCATGGATACAATGTTCTGCTACAGGTCTGGCACTAGCTACACTTCCTACCATGCCAGTCATATTTCAGCATGTGGACCTTTCATTATACACTGTCCACAAGCATTGGATGATAGCCTGGGGCCTTTCCAACTAATTGCCTATTCCACAGCCATTTAGAAAATGCAATGCTGCCTTTCCCAGTACTGGTCCAGCAGTGCCAGTAATGCACAGATACACTATGGTATCAACATTGATCTTGTTCAGATTGATATCCAGCCACTTGGCTCATGATAACTGCTGTGCCAGGATAGGCCATTTGCTATTCTGGCCTCCTGGGATGTGATTATTGATGATCTCTTATCTTGTGGTCATCACATGTGTCAGCCACATTGCTATGTAATAACATTTGCACCTGATCCAACTCTACTCCAAATCACCATGGATGTCAGGACTGCTAATCTATCCTACCTCTCCATGACAATCCAATACATCAGTGTCTGATTTAGATGGTTCACATATGCTTTGCAGCAGGCCAACGACCCAAGCAATCAACTGCCAGATGACTGGTATTGGCAGGTTCAGGTGGAAACAGTGAGTTTGTTGAAATGGATGCTGGTTCACTGTGTCACACACTTTTCCACAGCATATATTGAAGCAGGCCCTGGCTACCTGCAACTCATATAGGACAATCATGAAGGTCCCATATGTTGCCAATGAACTGCTTTGGTGGATGGCCATACAAAATATGGGAGAGACCACCCTGCTGGCACACATCATGGAGTTGAATGTGCTGCAGGTCAAAAGAGGAGAGGTGAGATGTATGATCCACACTGGCCCCATGCCACATATCTGGTGGACAAGGGACCCTACCCATCTGGATGGGTATGATCATTGGTCATTGGAGGAAGTTTTGCAGGAGGCCAAGGAATTCTTTGTTGGGGTTGAGGTGTGTGGTGGTCATTTTTCGATCATTCCATTGAATCCATCCATGCCATAGGAAGGAACAGACAGTCTCCCACTGCTGTGTGACATGGACCAGATGCCATCAGACAGCATTGGCCAGTTGATTGAAAGCTGTGATGAGATGATCCATCAGGAGGAGGAGATTTGCTGGCTCCATGGTGTGATGGAATTCTGCAGTGAATGACTCACCCTTTTTGACAGGCTTGGACAAGTATGGGACCAGCTTGAGGACTTCCAAGTCAATTCAGTTACCCAGCTGGGAGCCACCAATAAGTAGGGTGCTGTCCTCATTACACATCTCATTAGAATCTTGATATGTAATTTCCCTGGTTTCATATGGTGACCAGGATGATCAGGGAGGAATGGATCATCAGTTTCATCATTACTGTCCCCATCAAATGGGGCTATACTTCTGGGCCTTTGCCTGGGGTTAACTTGCCAGTCATTTCTGATGAACTGGGCTGCTCCATGTACTAGTGCATCAATCTGTGGTTGCAACCAGTCTTGCCAGCATGAAATCAACAACTGGTCTGCCTCTGTTGCCCTGGTGTCCATCTGTCATGTATCCATAGCAAGCACTATTTGAGCCTGCTCAACCTTTAATGCCTGTGCAATCCAAGTAGCTGAACATGTGAGCTGCTGAATGAACAGTTGTTATGGATTAGGTCAATCCCAATGGCTTTCATGGTGGGTGCTACCATGATGTATGTAAGTTATGGGACAGATGATACAGTTGGCCCCCTTACCCTTCTCCAGCCAGACTTCATATATGTCCATGGCCTGTGGAGTATTCTGCCAGCATGACTGTGCCACAAGTTCCTGTTCCACCCATGACTAACACAAGCCATCCAGTACCTTGCTATCCAACTCGTTGAATTTATCTTGGATTGTTGCTAATGACTGCTTGGCAACCTTGAACTTCTGTTTCAATGCTGATGCTATGTGCAAGTAATCAAGCAATGGTCAACTGGGTACTGTGATGACATATGCATCCATATCATTTTGAGGAAGTTACTATCATTCATTTGGAAGTCCAGCAACTCCTGACAGTGTGCTGTTGCCATTCCCTGGGCTGATGGTGAGATTATGTTGAGAGAAGACCAGAGGGTCTCCATGATTTCACTGTCCACCTGGCCAGCACCCAGAATAAAGTTTGGAGCATATCTGGCAAAGCACTCTGTCTGATGGCCATGGACATGCCATAGTCCAATGCTGGGCTGAATCTGTAATCTGGAAGGCAGAGAGAGATATCTATTTTCCTCAAGCCAGCAGGCCAAGTTCTTGCTATACTGACAACTGATGTCATAAAAGGTTATGACCAGTTGCTGGGGGTCCAATTCATGGTGCATGGCATGGACCAGAGCATAATCCATATTGACCTGCCTGCTATATTGTTAGTCATGACCAGGGACTATGAATTGGTGTGTACTGCTCTCCCTTCTGAAAGTTGACCATTGCATGAGGTACAAAACAGCCATGCCTCACACAGGCACATCCACCAATCCTGGTCGATTCCAACTTATTCCTTTGTGCATTTGCTTGATTAACAGCCTGGTGGTTATTGCAGTTGGATTTCTGCACAACACAATCAGTCTGGTGCCTTTGGAGAGATCATGGCACACCAACTTCTATTTGATTCATGGTCCTGGTCAAATATTCCTTGTATGGAGCTGATGTGACCATGAAGCCATTTCCATCCATGAGCCAGACCTCTTTGGCAGCATTCTTGGGCAGCATATGCTCAGCCTTGAAGTTGCCACCCATCACAAAGGTCCTAGCAAACTGCCAGCTACACAAGTCAGGCTAACAATGCCTTTGCAATAATGAATAGAATACAGACTCAGTGAGATCGATATCCTGATCCAGTACATTGATCCCTGGCTGGGGACAGGCAGGGCAGAAGAGGACAAGTTCACTGGCCTGGGGATCAGGCAACTGTTGATAGAATCCCTGCCATTTCAACAGCTTTAGGAGCCTCCACATTCTCAACACCCTGAGCAATTCCCTATACCTATTCTTCAACTGGCATGAGTGATGTGGCATATGGTAGGCCAGGGGTGATCACACTCACCAGCACTAGGTGAGGAAATGCACTTGAGGTGACTCTCTGAAGTTTGCTATAATAGTTCATGGTGGAGGTTCCACATTCAACATTGTCCCTGATGAAGTCATCCAGCACCTGGAAAGTGAAAGCCATCCTTGGTGCCTTAGTCATAGCTGGGAATAGGCCAGCCATGGTAAGCTGAAGATGTGAATCCTCAGACCCAGGGCAGTTGCAATACTGCACATTGCAAAAGTGCACACCACCAGTGTCCACAACTGTCAGATAGTTTCTATCATCCAGTGGGTTGAGATGTGCCAGTCGTTGACTCTCCTCAATGTCCTCCCACTCTTCATCTACATGGCTGGCAGCATCCTCCCAAGAACCTTCTCCTGCTGGGCATGGTGCTCTGGCATGGCCCAAGTGTAGCACCAAACCAACCCACAATATCAGTCATCACAGATGATGGGTTGAAACTGGAACTCACCAGCCATAGAGTGAAGTCTTCAAAGAATCTTCCATTCCATTTTTGTACCCAATGGAATGGTCTGAGTTTGTGTTGCTTGATGCAACATGTTTTACAAGACAATGGGCAATGAGCACAGTCCATGCATCTATATGGTGCCCCTTCTGCTTTACACACAAAACAAGCCATGACATTGGGTGGGGCCTCCATGTCCAGGAGCACAGACAGGTATCTACTCTTATAGGGCAGCCACTCTTCCAGATAACTGTTCTGTAACACCATAAGGCACACATTGCCAACATTGGGATGTTTGATAATGCACACCTGGCTTTTTGGAATTCTTGATGTCCTTGGTGGTGATGCATCATCCATATAGCAATATAGGTCAGCATCATTACCCTGGACTAAATTGGGTTCCTGGATGCTTGAAGATCCTGCCCTAGTAGGTGATTCATTGCTTTGGCCAGTTGCATATCTTGCCTTCTTTCTTGGAGTAAACTTGACCATCTTTTCTTTGGATCCCCTGGTTGTTTTCACCTTTTTCCAAGTGACATGGGTTACCAGAGTGGCCACTGCAGCTCAGGTGATTCATGACTTGCCCATGTCTAGTATCAAGTCCTTGCAGGATGTCTGCAGGCCTCAGCCACACATGCCTTATTGTGATGCCTGGCATGACTACGATTTGAGTTGGATCTCGGAATCAATGTCAGAAGATCCAATTGGGATCAAACTATACTTTATCTATATATAGTAGCAGACTGGATGATAGACAAATTGGCTTACCATGTTTGGCCATGGTACCAATTGACTGGAACAAGACCATACTAACAATGGGTATGTGTCATGACCGGAACATTACTCAGCCCCTGGAACTTTATTCAAGAATGGGTGATGGTAACTGTGAGGAATGGACTCCAAATTTTCTTTCAACAGAGGGTGACATTACCTGCAACTAACCAACCCCAACACCTTCTACAACATTCAGAATGGCCAGCAGTGATCACAGTACTAATTGTGTTAATACCTCAGATGAGGAGGACTTTTCCTCCAATGAGGAATCTAGCTTGGATAGCATGGAGACAACAAAATCTGCACCAGGAAAGCTGAGACCAGATGAACTTCAAATCCTCCAAGATGGTCTAAATGATTGGAAGGAAGCTGACACAAACAAAAGGGCCTCACTGATGGAGGGCATGCAGGACAAAATCAAATGGCTGGATGCCAACAAGAGCCTCAAACAAAATGAATGGAATAGAAAATGGACAGTAAGCTTGATGGTTTTGATGTGCTTGCAGTCATGTTAAGTATATTTTACAGGCCATCAAGAACTGGATGTATAACAACAGTCAGTCCCAGGCATGGAAGGCCCTGGTCAAGTATGGCTCCAAATGGACAGCCCTAAAGGTGATCAAGCTGCAGCATAAGAAGGATATCCAACAAGTACTTGTGAAGGCTGGAATACATCCCAGTACATTGGCTATGATCAAACACTATCAGCCAGCTGTTCAGAAGGTAGTCCAGTCATTGACCAAGGCTGAATTGGACCAGGCAGCCCATTTGGCAAAAGAGTGGAACAAGAGAAAGCTGCCACCTGAAGCCCAGGCAGAGTAAGCATCCAAGTCCTCCCATGGGCAATACTAACTTAAATGCAGGGTGGCAACAAGTAAGGGCCAGAAGTATGCAGAACAGTTTGTGTATGACATGTGGAAGCAGTGTGGGATGAGAGTGGTGATCATGTTGGCATGGAAGGATAAGGAAGGCAAAGTGATGGTTGGAGTGTGAGTGCTTTCCTGACAGGCTTCACCATATCTGACTGGTGTAGGAATGACTTCAATGATGAGCTGGGTGATGGAGAGCTCTATTCAGATTGGAAAGACCTTCATGGAAAGTGGTCAGCCTACTCACAGAAGGCCTTTGGGGCCAATGGTACAGAGGATGGCAGCAGAGAGGATGAGGCCAGTCAAACCACAGTAAAAGCATGGAAAGGAAAAAAGCAGTCTCAATTCTCCCTGTCCACCAATGACAATGGCACACCCATTCTTCCAAATCTCTTGGACTTACAGACACTGGAATTAAAGGACATCATGAGGGTGTTTGTAACCAGCCATTATTGTATGTGCCAATTTCCATGGTCAATGAGTTACTAACATCTAAACACAGGCTTGGCTTGTGGGAAGATGAATGCCAGTGTACCTTGGGCTGCAATAGCTGACAACTGGGCATCCTATGTGTCTTCCAAGTATCTTCCTCCCAATATCCTGTTCAAAGAGCCCACCAGGCTGACACATCATGAACTAATTGAAACCTTGGAGTTCTGGAAGGAGCAACAGCAGGAGCACCCAGAAGATGTCTTCTGGTTCCAAAGGTGGAGATCTCAGGATGGTTCCTTGGAGGAGCTGGTCACCAAACACCAATGCTGGTCAGACAAAGCCAAAGGGAAGAGACCCTGGATGGAAGGTGAGGTCATGATCAATTTGGATATACATAACTGACTGCACATTAAGTAAATTCTGTTGATGGCTCCAACTATGGACATCACTCAGAGGAGGAACCAGCTCCTCCCACAAAACCTTCCACCAAACAGCAACAGATAGATGGTATGTTGGAGCTGGTCAGATTCTTTACTGGTAACCCTAACATGACCTTGGAATTGTGTGCTGAAGATCATCCCACTGGAACATCCAATGCACAGGAGGACAACAGACAATGGAACCAGTCCACATCAGACCAGCACAATACGGCTACTGCATACCCCAAGCCAGCTGGTAAGTGGTATCCAGTGACAATGAATATTGCTGATAGAATTGTATCAGACAATCATGCCAATGATGGTGGTGATTCAACTGCAAGGAAGCCCAAGCCAAGAATCAGATCCAATGGTCAGTTTCAATGCACACTTGGTTAATCCTCTCATTACAGCATTCTACAGCAGCCCAGAATGATAAGACATCATATCACCTAATGATCATAGGTATACATCCATAACACGATTACACACACTAATCTATGTCAGGAGTTGATCCAGTGGGTAGGAATTTGAATGCCAGGCCTAGAGGCTGTGTGATGGACAGGGAAGATGGACTGTTGGATCAAGCAGAAGAGGATGGTGTGGCTTGTTGCCCAGAGCAGAATCATAGGCCCCCATGGTGGCCAGATGAGAATTATCCTACTCCAACCATGAGGAGGTGAAGGTAGAATTGAGGCCAGTACCTAATGTTTTCCAGTAGACTGGTGACAACCATATATAGTGCACAGTGCAAGAATCACCAGTGAATTACTGGCCCCATAGCTACCATGTACCATAACCCACTGTCATAATCCAATTGTGGCCAATTTGTGCACTTCTCCAATTCCATTCAACATAATGTTCATTGAAATGAGTTAAATATACAAATTAAAGCTGGTCTGGTTTAAGATGGTAGCCTACACCTGCCAGCTCTTCCTCCAGAAGATCTGCTAACTGTTTCCAGAATCTGGTAAGCATGGCATGCCACTCAACATGTGATCACCACTCCCTGGTTGCATCCACCAGGGTATTGGCATAATACCTATATGTGGTGATCAGATTGGCATCATGTGCAGCATTGATGTCTGGCTGATGTGCCCCACTCCTAGCCATGATACTGAAGATCCACCTTGACATTTGAACTGGTAGACATGTTTAGCTATGGTTGCATAGGAACTTCTGGACTTACACTCAGTTTGTGGAGTATCAACTCCCAGCTGTATGGTGAACTCCTGGGAGACTGCTAAAAGCTCCAAATGCGACAACAGGATTGGCACTGGCAATGGGGATCTAGCCAGTGATATTGATGTGGAGCTGAATGATGCAGGAGCATCTGAAAGGTCCATAGGTTGATGAGGACCAGGGAAATTGCCACTGGGCAATGCAAATGTTGTTGGGCTGGGAACTGGGATAGGATTGCAACAGGCTGGTGACACAGAGGGAGTTAAGGACCAAAATTGGGGCTCATGCAATAGGATGAATGGTCATGATGATTGGCCAGCTGCTTGAGCTGGGTAGATGTAAGCTGACAATCTTGTGGCAGCAGGCAACTGAAATGCCAGTTCTTGTAAAGGACTGACTGGTGGGGACTGAAATGGTGGGGGTGACCCCCAAGGCAGCTCATGCAATGGCATACCTGGGGCAACAGGCAGTGGTGATTTGTCCCATGCTGGCTCAAGTAACAGGGTGCTGTCAGAGAGACATGTTGATATGGAGTCCCAAGGAGGCTCAACCAATGGGCTGCTAGAGGAGGGAGACAGTGCCAATGACTCCCATGCTGGCTCTATCAAAGGTGATCTGGGCAAACCAGAGGACTGGAAGGAGGGTTCCATTCCAGTTGTGCATATTGTTTGAGCCAGGGACAGCTTGAAAGGTGGCTTGTGTAATGGGGATGATGGCACATCTGGCAGGTCATCTTCAGTAAACATTTCCTCATCCTCATCAAGAGATGTGAGCCACTGCATATCATGGCATGACAGAATTACTACACACAGTCATTAGAAGTAATGGTCCTTGGACCAGTTGACTTACAGAGTTTATCTGGACTGCCAGAACTGAATCTAACATTTCTGGGAGCCATATGAAAGTTCAAAATGTTGTAGGCACCATGGGGATTACACCAATGTTTGAGAATGATTTTGGTACCAGTGATAAGATTGTATTACACAATATTTTTTCATCAGTCATCATGCAGGATGTGCAAGTGCATACATAATGGAAATGGGCACTTAGTGGAATGACTGTCAACTGCCATACATTACTCCCACCAAAATATGTTCAATGGTTAAACCAGTACATTGAATATTGTAAATCACAGCATCACTGGAGTGAGCATTTGTATTGTGCTTATGTAAGCCTGTTGAATGGTGTATGCTAGCCAGCAAATTCACCACACCACTCAAGCACCCACCACCTGCACACCTAAGCTTTAACAGCACCATGTCTACCACCAACACCAGCACCTTCATCCTGGCACAATCAACTGACAACATCCAGCCAGTCATCACTGCTGAAAATGCCAAGCAGATGGTCAAGGAGGCTGCCAGTGTTACAATGCAGGCACTGAGAGGACTTTGGGGCTGGGATGCTAAGCACTGGGGCAAAGTGGCTCAGCTTGTGTGGGCCCAGCTGGTAAGTGAAATCACAGCCATGATATCCATTCCTGACATCTATGTAGGGAATGGTCCACACAGTTGTTGAACATCTACCCCCAGCATTTGAGATCCCTCTGCATCTTATTGCTATTGATATGCACATGGTTGACCTGGCAACAATCTTTGCCATGCAGATGTGGCCACCTTTCAACCAGATGATGATGGCACGAGAGGCCAATGTGAAGGATCATGCATGGTATTGCCTTTGTCACCAGCCTAAGTCTCACCCATATTGCAAGGTCATGGAGGAGCTTACCAGGCCTTCATTGAGGGCCAAGCACCAGGCACAGCTGGTGGATAAGGGGAAGGGGAAAGAGTTGGGTATGGATGAGGCTCAAAGGACTCAGCTTCCAGGTGAGCACTAATTCTGAGGATGGCAATTAGGGTAGACCACTGATCAGACCAGTAGAGGCCAGAGCTGATCAAGGAGACCAATGAAGAAGGTGAAACCAGCAGTCAACAAGGATGTGCAGGAGTGGCAAGACATCAAAAACCCTCCTGAGTCCTGGGAGGTAGTGCTGGAAGCTGAGCAGTGTGTGAGATGCCAGGACAGGAGTTGGCCCTGTATGGTGCCAGCTGGCAGGGCATGCTGGCAATGCCACTGTACCAAATACTCATGCAGCTTGTTCAAGGGGAGGGGAGACAAGTCCAAGATGCAGCAAAAAGCCTCCCATTCAAGGCCTTGCTGGCAACAATCCCCAGAAGACATGGCCAGCCTTCCCACCACTTCAATGCTGGCTGCACCAGCTCCATCAACCAGTCAATGAGCCAAATGTCAAAGGGCACCAAGCTGAAATCAATCCACCAGTCCATCCAAAGTAACAAGCCATCATTCATCTCCTGGCCCATGGACTGGCTGCCCCAGTAAGTTATTCACAGTCCTATGTTTTCTGCTAATTGGTTGAAATAATATTTCTATTGAGTAGTGTAAATTATTACTCTGTCATGGCTATCCTGGTCACAGTCTCATGCAAGAAGTGTTGCAACAGACCCACCCATCACTCCAGTGCCAACTACTACAACCAGTGCCAATGATCCATGCCATTGTGACAAGTATTGGAAAGAGGCTACCATCCTCAAGTGGGAGAATGCTGACATGAGGTAGGAGATAGAAGTAACCCGTACTGAGCTTGCTGCTCTCCATTGGGTGGTAGATGCTATCCATAATCACCTATTCCCAGCCCCAGATGTGCTTAACCATCCTCTGGTCCCATTTCACACTACTTCCAACCCTACACCAGTACCTCACATGCCAGTCATGGTGGAACTTGGCACTGCAACTGGTGTTGTAGAGGCTCAATCATCCCAAAGCAGCTCAAGACAGGAGTCCACTGAACCCCCCCCAGCTTCATTTGAGGGAGGTGCCAGCTTGGAAGTACCTCCTTCAAATGTCAAACCTGTGCATGGACCTGCTGGAGGTCTGGCAATCTCTATTACTCCACCACCACCAGCAGTCAGATCAGCACCTGGACAGGAAGGTAGGATGGAGGTCGACTAACATCAATGTACTTGTCATTTTGCAATCCATTTGTGTTTTTTTGTCTTTGTACTTGTACTTTGTTAGATGCAGCAATATATTCTATATTGTCAAAATGTGATCTCCAGGAAGAAGTAGCTACCACTGCTGGTAGTTGTTACTGTATGATTCAGATACTGGAAAACCAATCTGGTATGGTGATGTCTGTACCAAGGCTGTGGTGTTACAAGCACTAAGGGCCAATGGAGTCATGGTTCACATAGATGATTGAATGATGACTGGCCAGCATAACTCAATTGCTTTTGCTGTATAGCATGATAGTGACTTTCATGGTATTGTTCTGGCTTGCTGGAGGCCATAAGGCATTGAATTCACAGTTTAAATGTACTGGGTTGTTGGCTAGTCTTCTGGTCATTACCAGAGCCACCATTGTGGTAATACATGCATCTCTGGCATGGTACTGGTACCAGTATGTACATACACTGTGGACCTGCTCCTGGGAGGTCTGGGAGGTCTGGCATGGCATGGTATAATTTCTGGGCAGGCCTCCATGGCATTGGCACCAGGATGGTGTTCATGGCATTGGTGCTGGGACAGCTTGACTGATGGCCTCATGGCATTGGGGATGTGCTGGAACTCATTACAATGGTGCTGTGACAGCCTGCATGATGGCCTCATGGCATTGGGGATGTGCCAGAACATATGGCATAGGTGCCAGGATGGCTTCCATGGCATTGGTGTTGTGCTGGAACACATTACAATGGTGCCAGAATGGCCTGCATGATGGCCTCATGGCATTGGGGATGTGCTGGCACTCATTACACAGGTGCCAGGATGGCCTGCATGATGGACCTGTGGCATTGGGAATATGCCAGAATACATGGAACTGGTGCCAGGCTGGCCTCCATGGCATCAGTCCAGTGCTGGTACACATTACAATGGTGCCAGAATGGCCTGCATGATAGGCCTCATGGTATTGGGGATGTGCCAGAATACATGGCATAGGTTCTGGGATGGCTTCCATGGTATTGGTGTTGTGCTGGAACACATTCCAATGGTGCCAGGATGGCCTGCATGATGGCCCCATGGCATTGGGGATGTGCTGGAACACATGGACCTGGTGCCAGTGCTGGCTCACAATACATCAGTGCCAGGACAGCTTCCATGATGGCCCCATGGCAGTGGCAATGTGCTGGAGTGCATGGCATTGGTGCCAGCATGGCTTCCATGGCATTAGCATTGTGCCAGTTCACATTAAATCAGTGCCAGCCAGGATGGCTTCCATGGCATTAGTCCTGGGTTGGTGTTGGCCTGGCTCACATTGCATTGGTGCTGGGATGCCTTGAATGGCATTGGTATTGGGTCTGCCCACATGGAATCAATGCCAAGACAGCCAGCATGGCATTGGTGTTGTGCTGGCCTGCATGGCATTGGTATTGGGCCTGTTCATATTGCATTGGTATTGGCCCAGCTCACATGGCATTGGTGGTGGGCCAGCCCACATGGCAGTGTTGCTGGGATGGCTAGCATGGCATTGGTGTTGGGCCAGCTTGCATGACAGTGTTGCCAGGGGTGAACTCAGGGGCTGAGCCCATCCATACCTTCCAGGGACACCCAACTCTGGGCTTACCTGGGACTACTCATATTGCAGTGGCTACACCCTAATTCCACAGCTGGCTTGTACCCCATGATGACAATTCTAACCTCTGCCCAGCCATTCTCCATAATGACTCCTACTCTTGGGCTCAGCTGTATGCTATGGTGACACTCATTTATTGGGCTCTCCCATAGTCCATAATGACACTTACTCCCCAGCCTGCTTGTAACTGACAATGACAATTCAAACCACAGCTGCACCATTCCTCATGACAACATTTCCTCTCAGGCTCAGCTGTACTACATGGTGACACTCATCAGTTGGGCTCTCCCATACTACAAGGTGACAATAGGTTCATGGCTCTCATGTAACACACATGCACAAGCCATACATGGGCTCAACCTCTGCTGGCCTGTCACTGATGGCCGATTGTCAGCCTCTACTGACCATCTCATATGGCCTAACCAGGTGCATGGGCTCATCTGAGGAGATTTTTGCAGAGAGATTCACAGGGCATTGTTCTTCAAGACTTAGCTATTTAATTATTTGATATACTGCTAAAACTACTGTAATTTATTTTGAGTCCGATGGGATGCCACACCATTCAGTTTGTTGGAGTTGAAAATGTAGTGGCCAGAACATGTTTCCAGAGCCAGTGCCAGAACACAGACAGAGCACTTCCAGAGCGCTTCCAGCGCCACCTTGAGCGCCACTACTGTCCAAAGTGTATGCTGTAATTCGACCGTTTTGTAGATGTCGTTCACGCATTTGTTTCAGCTTGCATCGTCTTTCTGGCCCTGGTCTGGCTAATACTTGTATCCGTCGAGATGTTCACTCGGTGGGACATCTCAGACACCACTTCCCGTATGTTCCCTGACACAGCCATCTGCACTCGAAACGGCTCAATTGCCGTATCAGAATCATTGATGTTCCTCCTCATGCTCACGAACGCAGTCACCATCTTCATCCCACCTGTCTTGTGAGTTGTAAACAGGCGTGTTTTCCACGTGCTTAAGCTGACTGATGTTTCGCAGATTGATACTCGAGTTTCGAATATGGTTAGATGCTGCGCGTCTCCTATTGGTGTTTGTTCTGCAGACAGGTGTGTGGCATCAGCGCCGTGCAGAGTGTGTCCTGAGATCCTCACCAGGTGCTGCTATCGCTTTCACGTGTTGGACTCCCCAGATTCAATGCCCAGATCAAAGTACGCAGTGTTGCCGTACCCATGATAATTGTACCTTACCCAGTTCCCCCCGGTCAGCTGCGGACGACATAGGCGAATGTAAGCTCCTCAATTCATACACTGTCATAGCATGCTGGATCATTCCAGCCATCTGTAAGTGGTGTCTACCTGCACCTTCTTGCGTATCTGATTTTTGTGGAAACAGCACTTTGCTATAGCGTCTACTTTGCGATCGTGGTGTATATGCAGTCTCGGATACCTGACGCCGTGGACTAGCCTACAACTGTTCCTTCCTCGGCACGACCATCAGTACTGCCCATTGCGGACCCAGAAATGGGGGAGAAGCGGTTTTCGATTTTTCCAGTGTCGGCGGACTCTGGGCCAAATACACCAAATCGTTCATCACACATTGGACCGTTATTACTGCCCCTTATACTCCCTCGACGCCAGCTGACGCTTTCAACGCAAACCCAGCCAGTTTCTATGAGTCTGCAGCGTCACAGATCCCTACCCGCAACCCATCACCTTGCAGGGGGCCCCGCCCCACGACGAACCTTGACCCTTTCTATTCCAGCACCTCTAGCGCCACAGTCACAATTCCAACCAGTTCTGAGACCTTCGTCGAATCCACAAGCAGGCGTTGTGGGTTCGCGACCAGCGGTACGGCATTCGACGACGACGATGCCGCCCAGCAAAATTGGATCTTCATCCGACGCGGGTAATTCCCCAATTACCGAGAATCTCACAGCACAATCCCCACTCTGCAAACGCGGACCTTCGTACCTCATGTAGCTGTATCATGGAACATGTTGTATCGTTAGCGAATGTATAACTAGTATACTCCAAAATACTACTTGGTTACTTCCACTGGCAGTGTGACAGTTTTTTGACATGGCTTGCACTGGTTTTTCGGCCAGAGTGGGACAACTCCGTCTATGAATTCGGGGTCATACCCAGCACTTGAAGTTTGAATACTTTTCATATCCACCTCTGTTACGCACCAACTCCACCACCCTGGCGACGACAACATGGCAAGTTGGGATCCCGTCGCGTTCAAGGCAAGTCCACCGCCTTTCACTACCGAATCACCATCCCGATCATGCCAACCGTTCCTGGGCTACTTACTGACGCGAACGACATCCAGACACTCCTAAGGACGACGTCGCATCGACTCGGTCAGTTACAAGAACGCAAGGACTCCCAGAGCCAGATTACACGCCGGGACATCGCCACGCTACTGCACAATGGCAACGTCGGGCTGGCGCGGGCTAAAGCCCAGAATCTGATGTGGGAAGACAGGATGGGCGATTTACTGGAGGTCCTAGAGATGTGCGTGTGTGTCGTGCTGGAGCGTGTGGCCGAGCTGGAGAACGGGTACGTCCAACATTCGAGCTCTTCGCAAACGTATATTCGAACGCTTAAAATCATATTGCGTGGATGGTGGCGTGGTTGCCCCGACTGTGCTGGCTTCTGTTCCGATTTGATACAGGAAACAACTGAGTCCGGTAACTACTGAGGCCGCTTCGACTATCGTGTACGCTGCACCGAGTGCCGAGTCAAAAGGTCAGGCGAAACAGTTCGAAACGGGTCGTCATCGTTGAACGTTCACTGCTCTCTCAGATCTCAGTCTGGTCCGGGACGTCCTCGTACAGCGCCTTGGTCGTACTTTTGCCCATTCAGCAGTAGCGAATAGCAAGAAAACCGTCGCCAAGCAGGTATGACTCTCCCGAAGATAACCTTATTCACTGGGGATTCTCAATACAGACGTCGAACGAACGGACAAACAAATAGGTACTCGACATCCTCTCATCTTCCGCACCTACAGCAGCCCAGATGGACGCCTGCCTCGTCAAAATAGCAGATACTTACAACGTCAAATGGACTCCCCAACCTCGCCGTCCCGACATGTATGTCTTTCTCCCTCGAAAAGTTTTGTGGTTTGTGGATAAATGATAAATTGACACTGACCCCGGCGGATGCAGTTTGGATCAACTCTCGGAAATCCTGGATTTGGGTTCTTCTACCGTTGTCGATCTTTCGCGTCTGCGGAGGCTATGTTCACACGGTATGTGAAAATTGTGCACAGCATATGGTTGTATGCGCTCGATTTCAACGCTGAGCGGCTGAACTTCTATTGCTGTTCGTCTGCAGGTCTTCCTGACGATCCTCCATGGATTAGACCCCGGATATGGAGGTGAGGCGAATGGACGATGATGGTACGAGGAGTATTGGAGTGGTGGCTCATGCTGTTGCGCGGTTTTCCAGGTTGCTTTTTGGTACGCTTCCGGTCTCGAAATCGACTTGGGAGAAGGAGAGCCAGAAGCAGAGGGAGAGTTACTATGTGAGTGTTTGAAAGTGATAATACCCGCGTACATTAAATGCTCTCCAAGGATCTCGTTAGGCGATTGCTCGGGCCACTCTCAAGTCTTCCGCCCCCAACGACGCCACCTGCGCGTACCGACGCTGCCATTCTCAAAGTATCCGAATCGCTGTTCCATTTACCATTCGAGCTGTTCTCACGATTGGAGGATGAACCAGAGAATTTTACGTTGTGTCCTCTTGACGAAGAAGCAGAAGAAGCTATCAAAATCGACTGTGCACGCAACCTCGACGTCAGGCTAGAACTTATTCGCAGGGGAAATACTGAGCCAGAACTACAAGCCATTCCTGAAATTCGACTCGAACATGAAGTCCAAGCTGAACCACCTGACCAAGCTTCGGGTTCGGACCTCTCACAGAAGGAAGGAACACATACAACCCTTTTTCAGGCTCAGTCCTTCGTTTCAGCCGCCTGCGCATCCGCAAACATCTTTCCGCACTCTTCCGCCTTCTTTACTTGCACATCTGTCTCAACCCTGCAAACCAAGCACCGCATGTACCAGCACTGCTCATTCCGTTATACTCGGCTCTCACTCGAGAAATCGAACCAGCTGATGCTGCCCACGCAGAAGCAGACACGTTCTGGTTGTTTGAGGCGCTGGTTGGAGAGCTCGTCGAGCTAGAGGATGAACAAGGTGGTAAGGTGTGGATGCGGAGGTTCAGCGAACGATTGGCCAACGCGGACGGAGAGCTAGCAGAGAATTTGGTCAGCTCATCCTTGGCTTTTCTCTTTTGTTTTGTCGCTCACACATTGTTGCCCAGCACGCTAAGAGCCTTGATCCTGCTTTACCACATTATTCATAGTAGGTCGTGCTCGTGTCGGCTAAGGATCTGTCTCACAGGTGATGACAGCCGTTGGCTCTCTACACTGTTGACCCAAACCCTGCCCTTGCCGGCCGTGTTCCCCGTTTGGGACGTCATTTTTTCATGTCCTATGAGAACCCGCAACTCCAATCCCAAACTGGATTGTCTGGTGGATATATGCGTCAGCCTTCTCATCCGTGCAGCGCACGCCGTTGTTCCGGTAGCGATCCTTTTGCGTTTGCCTGGTTCTGCTAGTCAACGTCGTTTTTACACTGATTCTTGTTTCCTCAGACTCGGAAAGCAAAATCGTCAGACACCAAGTCTGTGGTCGTACGAGCACGCAGCACTCCCCCCGCCGTCCCCACTTCGACCGTGGGAACTCAGTGATGCGTTCATGGAAGGCATGGCGCTTCTTCAAGCATACCCGATCGATGCTGCAGGCGGTATCGACCGCGTGCTTCAGACCGCGTTTGATGTTTCGCAGAAACGACTCGAGGAAGAGGCCATGAGAGTACAGAAGGCGGATGGGATGACGCTTGGCGCGCGGCTTAAAGCGACGATGTGGAAGGGCCTTGGAACGCCTCTTACGGGGAACGATGGGGAGGAGCGAGAGGAAGAGTCGGATGAGGAGGAGACCACAGAGGGCGACAGTGAGCATGACGATGGAAACGAGACGGAAACGCCGGGGGCGAAGTCGTTGACGTCCATGTTTGCGAACACGGTGTGGAGGGGTATTACGAACCAGAGTTCGATGGATGACGAGATACCGTCTCCCACGACGCCATCGTCCCCTTCCCCTCGCCGCCCTCCCTGGCGGAAGAAGAGAAACAGCAGCCATCGGTTCAGCCCGTTCAGACGGCTCTGTGGAACTACGCTGGGAAGCTGAAAGACTCAGACACTATTGCAGCCTTTTCCAAGGTCAGCACGAATTGGCGCGCTAAGGCCATGAATGCGTGGAGTTCACGGAGGGGTAGTAATGCGTCTTCTTCGGTGATGGACGTATCATCACCCAGAAGTACCTCTTCAGAGCTGGCACCTCCCAAGGGTACCTGGTTAGATAGCGAACCTGAGAGGCTTCGAGAAAGAGGATCCTTGTCTGGAACAGAGACAGGCAAATCTAAAGATCCCCCCCGTCCTGCTTTCTTCCGCTCGCCCCGCGAGAGCTTCCTCCCGCTACCGCGGAGACAAGCTTTGACTGAACCATCTAGTCCAAGTCCAGAACTTTCGCCTCGATCAGATAAGGCGTTTATTCATAAAACAAAAGAATCCCTGGCCTCCATTGCATCGTTACAAACGCGCCCTGCCCCTCCCACAAAGAGCGCACCGCGACCACTACTGTTAAATTCTCAGACGTTGATGATCTCGAAGAAGTCTCCGTCATCGGGGCTTTCGGGCGGACGTACCCCGCCATCTCACATGCAACAGTGGTCAGATGCACATCTCCCGAAGGGCCACGCGACGCGACAAGAATCCGTATCGTCGATCTCGTCGCTGTCACTGTCAGAGGTGTTCAACAAGACATACTCTCGTAGCGCAGGTGCTCGATCCGACTACGATTCAGATGGGAGCAGCCGGCGCGTTCCTTTGAACCGGAAGTCTGTATCGCCGATGGCGCTCGCATCACGTTCGCCACGTCTGCCGTGGGGCGTGCTATCCCCAGCGCATTCTTCAGACACAAGTATCTCGAGTATACGAGGGCTTCCTCTTGCGAGTGGAAGTATTGCAGAGGAAACGGCACCTGAGCGCGGATGGCGTCCTGCCGATGGCCCCGACTCTCCCACAACGGTCCCGTCGCCACCCAATCCACCTACACCACTCAACCAATACACGACACCCGTCCGCATAAATGGGATTGACCGCGTAGCGATAGCTGCGGGTGACTCGGGACATGCATCGTTGGAGTTGCCGGGGCGGAGTGGTGCAATCGTGAGGAAGCGAACCCCTCCCCCTGTGCGTGCCGGGAATGAAGTAGATGATACCTCCGACTCGTCTGTCTCGCATACACCATCGTCAAAGAACGCACGCTTGCGCTCGAAACGCTACACGGCACGACCTGCGAACCTCCGGATACGGGATACCTTGAAGCCAAATACGACGACGGTCGTCGAGCAACAGAAAGGTGCAAGTCCGCGGTCGTTAGCACCGCCGGAGTGGCCGGAGGAGCAGGAACTTACACCGCGGGCAGGGAATTTCGGGGGTAGCGACTCTGCGGAGTCTGGGCCAGCGACGTCTCCGGTGTCGCCGCGTCGGTCTCCAGCCAGGAAGAGCTCTCACGATATGAATGATATGCGTTTGCGCAAGGGCTTGGTAGATGGACATGTGCGTACGCGGAAGGTGTCTACTGGTAGCCGTGAGGTACGGGAGACCAGGGGACAGTGCTGCAGAGGAAGGTGACGATGAAGGCTACGACGGATTGCTTAGTGCATATGAGAGCGAGGAATGAACGTGGAACGGCTGACGACAGAGGCAGGTGGATGTGAAGAGGTGCCCACCGCTATGAAGCGACTACGGAGACACTCATACACAGAAACCGGTTACCGGGTGTCCGAGACATCCGTAGAATAGTTGACATCATTATGACTTTAAGATGGTAATAGTGTTCGGGTAGGATACAGTTGGGGTATACTCCATTGTCAAGGTATCTCCTATCAAGTCTCCGGTTCCCGAGGAAACATAGAATTCTGCACTCTAGAATATACTTGTAAAAGCACGGGGAAATAAGGCAGAATGTTCTGAGAAAAAATGTATCAATCGGAATCGAGTCAACGACGGGATGCGGATTAGATGGCTCACCTCGAAGGCCACACAGAACGAAATGGGACTGTTGCTCGACCGTTTGATTGCAGCCAGAAAATAACGAACGTTCCATCTCCTAAGACCTTCGTGTATCACAAAATCCTCCAGGCAAGAGACGTGGATGAACTGTCGCGACACTGAGAGCGACCCTAAGCACGGGTGTCCGCGATGAGTCTCTAGCTGAATACCGAGAGTAGGAAACACCAGTACTGATTCTGTGAAATGAGAACAGGGGTAGTAGCATGTTTTCGCCGTTGTCGACGGTTCCGCAGGACACACGTACCATACAGAACTTGGCTGCACCGTGACCATGCAAAAATGGACAGGACAACGCCTACTAGAGCGCGTGCTGTAGAGTTGACCTGAAGCTGAACGCGGTTTATATATACTACGCAAGGAAACGCCAGAAGGAAAGAAAAATGACCCACCCTCGGCCACAAAAGCGAGGTGAAAAGTGGCAAACACAGATCGAGCCACGTCCATGTCACTGCTCCGCGAATGATACGACCGCTCCCGTCCCGGGCCAAACGCCAATTCTCTACCCTATATTCGTGGAAAGTCGGCCATTCTATCACCGAGAACTCGGGATGCGTATCAGGGAGGGGTCGGGTTTGGCGCATTCATTGACCGGATTTTGGCGATGTAATAGTCTCTTCGTAATTAGTCTGGCAACTTGGCTCGACGGTCGGGACTCTTCGAAGTTCGGAAGCTCGGAAGTTGAGCTTACGTAAGTTTGGCACGAGTACCCAACATATGTCGACGTTTCAACACCCTATGCACAAGCTAATACACGTTAGTGGCCTCTGCTATTAGCTCGTGCCAGTGCGTGGGTAGGTATAGGTTGATCAGTGGAAACGGGAGGTTGTCGCTCTAATTGCTCACCCTGGCCAAGCAACTATGCCCCTTCATACGCTTCAAGTTTTAATGTAAGTACAATAATACGAATTAACTCTACTGTTTGTTATACTTATAGTCTGTCCAACTACCAAATTCACCTGCAAAGACCAAATATGATATCAGACATACCTTCGGCAAGCCTGACATAGGCATCTGCTGGGGTTCCAGGAGCCGGCACGGTTTTCTTCTCGTGGAAGAGCCTGAGGTCTGGTAAGTGCATGTCTCCAACTGCACAGACAACCCTAACTTTGGCTTTGAAATTAGGCGCAAGCAACGCGGAATTACTTACCCAATGTTATGAGTCAACGAAGATGCAATGACACTCACAACCGAAAGAGTGGAAGATTGATCAACATGGAAAGGCTTTTGGGACAATTGCTCAAGCTTCCAGGTTTACTGGATTTGATATCGGTTATGGGCGAGGGTTACCAGCTTCGTTTACCTGCGGTATAAAAGTTGAACTGCAATGAGAGGCAGACTAGTGGGCGTACGCACCTCCGAACTCAGGTGCACTCCCCTTCCTCCTATCCCTAAATGCATGGCCTGGACCTCGACATACGAAGTTACTGCTGGAATGACGCATACGGCACACACTCCGATCGAAGATGCGTCATACTCCGATCAGGCTGTGGATGGGGATTGGCGGCCGTAACATGGTAAGCCAATCAGAAGTTCGCCTTTATGCGTCCAGTACGTCTTGCGCTCTACGTCCTTACCATGGAATGATGTCATATAAGACGAGTTCGTATATCCCTCGATCAAGCTACGGGAGCTTTTTGCGAGCATTTAAAGGAAGGCAGCTTGTCGTCGTGGATCGTGCTTAGTCGTTCCCACCTACCACCTTCACCTGAAACCACAGTTCAACGACTGCGTTCGCGCTGAAGACAATGGCCACCCAAACACTGAAGGAGACTGTCATGCATGACCATCGCGAAGTTGTCACCCGTCCTCTTTTCGTCGCCGCTGTCTAACCTACGGTACACAGATAAAAGTTGTTCTATGATCAGTACAAGAACGCTGCGGACGCGGAGAGCAAGGAAAAGTGGTCCAACCAATATACCTGGGTGGTGACCAGGCATTCCGTCAGCGAAGAGATAGTCGTCTATCCACTCTTCGAAAAGAAGCTCGGGGAGGAAGGTAAGAAAATGGCGGATAAGGACCGCACCGAGCATAGGGTAATGGCCACTAACCCACCCTATTGCGAAAAATATCTGCTGACCGTAGGCCTTTAGGAAGTCAAAGTCTTGTTAGCCCGCGTTGGAAATCTCTCTGTTGGTGCACCCGAACACGAAAACGTCCTGAGCAAGGTGAACGACGTCCTTGCCGAGCACATGAAAGGCGAGGAGGAACACGACCTCCCTCTGTTGGAGTCCAAGTTGCAGACGGAGGAGTCTTACAACGCCGAACGTGAATTTCAGAGGACCAAGGCTCTTGCACCCACGAGGTTGGTTTTCACATCTCCTCATACGCAATGTCTGACTGAGCGCTGTGACATAGGCCCCATCCCACGGCACCAGACAAGCCACCGTACGAAATTTTGGCTGGGTTCCTTGCTCTCCCCATGGACAAGATCAAAGACCTGTTTTCGAAATTCCCGACAGAGGAAGAGATCAAAGCAGCTAAGGGGAAGGCTGGCATTTAGGCGACGTCTGGCTTTTCCTCACTGGTGTGATACGGTTAGTAGAGCTGACAATGCGGCGGAACGCACCCCACAATGTATGATATATTTTCGAAGTGCTGTATTTTCTAGTATCGTGCTGAAATCAAGCTCGAATTCGAAGCAATTGAAGGTCTAAGTGAAATCATGTTCACCGTTGGCAGTACGGAGTATCCGTCCCCTATCAGTTGCCGTCTGGGGAGACCAAATCCTCCAAAAATGACGCTTTAAGACGCTTCAAGCATCATAAAGTCGTTGGCAATATATTGGCAAGCGGAGCGGTAGTATCCCATACAATTTCGGCGCTTCCGTCAAGACACGCTTCCCAACAGCTAGAAGTTCGATCCGTAATGATGTCGACGGATAACTTTATAAGCACACTAGTCCACCATGCTTTTCTTTTCTGTGGTCACGGTTGTCGTAGTGTCGCAAACTCATCATTCGACGAGGTTCAGGGGTCCCCGTAAGGGAGAGCGTGGCCTGTGTCGCCTAGCCAGACCATTTAAAGCGCTCGTTACACAGCTCTGTTCTTCAGAAAATCTTCTGTTTCATTCTGCAAGATCATACAGGGGGAACATATATGTTAGGTGAGTGGCGTATTGGACCGTAAACATAGAAAGCTAGTCCAGCTTCTCGACGGAAAAGTAGCAAGAATAGTCCTCATTCTCCTTAACAGCGAGCGAACCATGGTAGGCTTTGTGTCCAGGAATACTTGACAAAAATTTGCACCTCGAGCCCATACCCTGATATCCGGAGATAGTCAATTTGATCCAGTTGCCTCCCGATTGTATCACTCCAAATTCAACGCCTCCGTGGGGCCCCGCACACTTGACATCACTGACATAATACATATTCACGATCTTTCCATTGGGACCTGAAGCACAGTATTATGTATGAGAGCTAGGAAATTCCCAGTAACAAACTACGTACCTTTCAAACTTATGTTGCCATTCTTTAGTTTTGTCACGGTGAATTTTGCATCATCATCTAGCGTGTCATCATGGAATCGAAGACCATCTTCGTTAAAGACCTTCATGTATCTTCCATCCTGCGATTTGAGTGCGATAGTGCCTGAAACATTCACTCGTTCCTGCACACGAAAGGTCGATTAGCATCTCCATAGCATTCCAATAGGCTACGCTACTTTAGTTATCATTGTCTGAGGGAAGTCCAAACAAGATGTCAACCAAAGGGTTTGACTTTGGCGGTGGGCACGTACATCAGATCCTAGGGTGTAAGTGCGCGACTTGCTGACTTGTGGTATGAAAAGCAGGCAGATGACCTGTTAGACAGCCACCCTTCGACTCACCATTTATACGTTCCCGCAATAGCCAGATCAAGAAATATGACAAGGATCTGTTAGTCGCGTCCCTAGAATTCAGGGATCTGACAAGAGACATCTGATGAGAAGCCCAGCAGTGCTCCACGACAACCCCGAATGCCGGGCAGGCAGCAAGAATGTTGGGAGATTAGAAGGATGTGTTCCATTCAACCGGGATGTGTTGCATCCGACATGCCGAACCTAGTGGGGGAATGCCGAGGTTTGCGAAAACCGATACTCGTGACAATCGTGGGTTATTTAAAATAGGGTTGTTAAAATAACTCACCATGAGGAGCAAAATTGCCCGGGTCCGCTGTGGGTAACGGTCCGTTACTTGACCAGGTCCTACGACCCTGGACCCGCAAGACATATGCCTTGTAACCTACCAACTATGCAGGGCTTAAGAATATTCCACCTGAACGGCTTTGACTTGGCTACCCCACAAATCAGTATAAATGTGAACAGGCGCCCAGTGATCTGATGGGCCAGGAAATATCGGGAACTTCCAGATCTATGCAATCGCAGGAACGCTCTTTGACCAAAATTATCATGTCCCTTGGACTTCCATGGACCGCATGTGTGATGGACCAAGCTTCCAGAAAGCACCAGAATCGTCTGCCGACCGCATCCCCTGTTGTTTCCCTCGGCAGTTACGATGAGCCAGTGTCGCCTCAACTTGAGTCCAAACCATTGAAAGGAGACTTCTGGAGATTGTGAAACTGCTCAAGAAGATCACGTTACCGATTCCCAGATATCTCCAAGTCAGTGCATTCGTTTAAGGAAACACTGTCATTCTTGTGGGAGCCCCATCAGCCATGTGAACTTGCTCGTTTTGATACCAGTGCATGGGCGCTTCTACACGATTTACTCCGCAAGACTTCTGCGCTCCCAGAGTTCTCTGGAAGGAAACGTTGAAGAACGCACCGATGTTATATGTATATAACAAGAGGGATTGTCCTTCTCCTTGACACAAAGCGAACCCCTGTAAGAGCCTCCGAACATTGTTCGACTAAGGCTTTTACATAAACACGCCTCCCGGGACCCGGACATTGTCAAGTGAACCCAGCATCCACCTGACTGGCCGATTCCAAATTAGACACCAGCAGTGCAGTAGACATTGCTAATTTGATACACATTCACCGTTGGGACCTGCAGAAAGTTACCACACGACACCTGTGTGAGACGTGAGGATGCCAATAGAATTCCCTGCTTTTTCAAGCATATCCCGCCATACGAACTGCCTGTATAGTGGGTTTAGCATTATCATCAAGGGGCCCTGCGCGACATCGGAGGACCAGAGATCACCTTCGTCGATAAAGACTCGACCTTCATATGTTCATGTAGATCCGAATCGCAAATGTTTGGCTTCCATCGGCCACGAACCGAGACTTGGGAGCATAAAAAGACGTCGTTGACAACAGCAAGGAGCTCGTAGTAAACAGTAAATATTTCAGTGTCCCCTTCAGCTTTTCACGCAATCACATTGATACCAAATTAGTCCGACACGTTCTATCGACGAATACAGACAAGGTTTTCACAGCCCGAGTTTGTGTAATTTATTTCAAAGACGCTTTCAGAGGAATGTCCCAAGAATCTGTCGTATTGGAGACAAGCTTGGGCGATGTTCAACTGGAGTTGTACTGGGACCATGCTCCCCGTGTATGTCAAACTTTCATGAACACACATATGCAGGCAGCTTATCCGTGACTCTACCAACCACCAGACATGTAAAAATTTTGCAGAACTCGTGAAACGGGGATATTATAACGGCGTCACATTCCATCGCATTGTCGCGGTGAGCACCCAGTATTCATCCATCATGTTTTTGTGTCTCACGAGTACATCTAGGACTTCATGATCCAAGGGGGCGACCCAACAGGTACAGGAAGGGGAGGAACGAGTATATACGGTCAAAGATTGTGCGTTTTCCCGCTCTCTTGGCCCCTACCACTCCTTATGCTGCTCATGTTACCAGCGAGGACGAGATTCACCCTGAGCTGCGCTTTACAGGCGCAGGTATCCTTGCCATGGCTAACTCCGGTCCAAACACAAACGGTACGCCTTCGTTATCTTTCTCCTCCCCCTTTCTGCCGACTAGAGTACTAAACTTTGTCAGGCTCACAGTTCTTCATCACACTCGCCCCAACGCCATACCTCGACAACAAACATACTATATTCGGCCGTGTGAGTTCAGGTATGAGAGTTGTGCAGCGTTTGGGTGCGGTCGCAGTTGATGCACAAGATCGGTGTGTAGCTTTCGATTATTCATGAAACGATCCCGATGGACTGACCGCGAACCTCACGGAAGGCCGAGAGAAGATGTGAAGATACATCGCGCTCGCGCGATAGAGTAACGAGGTCGTTTCCCTACCCACGGTATTGTGGCAAGGTTTCCTGGTTAGCAATACCGGATAAGACAACCAAGGCAAATGTTCTCATCCAAACAAATCCAGGCCAGTTGGCATTGCCATCACGATTATCTACCAGTAGTAACGCTACACCATTCCGCCGCGACTATGCGCTTCGTAAGCTACTTCCGGTATCAGCTTAGCAGCCAGAAATAATGAGCCTTGTATGTATGTAGTATTGTTGAGGTACTGTCTGACCTTGCTGCTACAGCGATATAAGAGCTTGGTGACAAATTTATGTGCTGTCCTTGTCATAGGTATGTACATCTGGGCAACGGACTAGTAAATTACGGTAACATGAAAATCGTCTATCAGTATGGAAAAGTATCACAATAAGCATAGTATGTACTTGGTAGTGAACATCCTGTAGAGAACGGCGTCCGCTTATCGTCGAATTACACTGGACACATAACGGGGAACTGCTACTCATCCTCGAAACTCTCACTTGGTGTGTACGAAAAACTCGATGCACGTGACAGTGACATCTGTCTCGGGACGAGTGTCGTCAAGTTCATCTGGGACGAATTGCGCGAGCGCGCGATATTGGGGGTACAAGCTGAGATTGATGATATTGTGTTCGATAAAGTCGTCGTCGTCGTGCCATTTTCGTCAAAAAGAAGCGCAGTAGGTGTTGGCGACGATGAACGGGAGTGGTACTGCGATGCTGTGGAGGTCCCGAAAGCGGGGTGCTGATAAGCTGGGGATGTCGCGGAGGGGTACGAGAGCGAGCGCCGGAGATTCGGGCGGGTGAGGGTCGTATTCAACGGCGATAATCTTGGGCGGGAGGGGGAGGAAGACAAAAACCGGCGGAGAGACCGAAGCAACGAGGGTTTTGATCGGGTAGAGGAGCGTACTGAGGCACCTGGTGATAAGCTACCTTCCTCCATCGAGTATGTCGTGTCAAGGTCACGCTTGAGCGGGGATCGCCTGATGCGACGGAAAGTATGACGGAGCGATCGGCGCAGACGGGAGGTCATACAGGCTAAAAGTAAAATCGCAAAGATATATAGGAAGAATGTGACCGGTGAGAATCCGAGCGATCCGCGAGAGAGAGCTGGGGGTAGGTGCTGAGATAACTTCTCTTCAATCATGTCGAGGTCGAAAAACGGCGGTCGAATTGGTCTTATGGGCGGATTCTGAGAAGTAGATGGTATATCTTGAACTGGATCCACGAGAGGTCGACTGTGAATTGATAGAGGCTCAACCGCCTTGCTAGCCTCTAGCACCATCTTCCCCAGGGTCCAGCTGATCGCAACTCCACCTACGCTATCCATAGATTGGAACATAGGTCGTCCTAGGCCTTTCCTTTCGGCTTGCTGTGCAACCTGCTCGCCCCTCGTCGAAGTGTTTCCACCTGGATCGACAATACGAGGTATCCCAATGCCTTCGTGAAGAATATTGGCGACCCATGCTGCTTTGAAGCATTGCATCTGCAAACGCGACAACTCAACCCTATCGCCCCAGACACCAGTTTTGATGACCTCCCCGTCCTGCAGTACCTCGCCATCACCACCAAGCAAGCCACGCTGCTTGGACAACTCGTGTTGCTCAACTATCCCGTCCCAATCTCTCTCGCAGAATGCCGTTGCAGCCCGTTCGTACTGGACGAAGTCGTAAGGCCCACCCAAGCCGAAGACGTGTTCGGACGAGTACCAGTATTCAGATATCCCGATGAAATGCGACGAAGAGAAGTTGATGAGTGGAACATGTACGCCATTGAAGAGACACGGTTCTTCTGCACACGGAGCCTCCTTATTTAGCAAGGGCGCGGTTTTCTGAAGGCACTGCGTGAACGAACCCGTACCGACGAGCTTGTAGGGCACTGAGGAGTGCACGGGGGAACCATCCAACCGAGGTTTTCCCTCCGAAACCACCAGATCCTTTGGAAGACAAGGGTCAGGTATATAGTCGAGATCACCCGTATCGAGAGTTTGATCATCCTCTGCACGTCGGATCGTCTCGGAAATGTATCGTTCCCTCGCCTGATTCGTCCCATATCCCAACCACGTTGTCACGAACACCCGGTGCTTGACCTCCTCACCACTTAGAAGCCTCAGCCTAACATCTACGAGCACCTCGTTGTCACTCCGAAGGTCACTATCCGCAGGCTCGAACGCAATTTGGGTCGAGGCACCTCCCATGTCGAGGAATCCATATGTCGTCTTTTCACTTGTCCCTCCCGAAAACCCGTCCATAAGATAATTCACTGCTATCCAACCGAACAGGCCTTCCTCCTCGCCGGTAATGATTTGGACACTCAGTCCACACGGACCGTCTTTGGACTCGTCGTCGATGCGGAAGTTGGAAGAGGAGCGAAGGTACTGGCATACTGCGTTCAATACCCGTGCTTGTTGCACCGGGCTTATGAGACGCATTCCAGCGGTGGCAAGAAGGAACAGAGGGGTTTCGGACTCGAGAGATGGCGGTATTCGGGATTGGGCATGTTGAATAAGTGGTTCTAGATAGCTCGCAACACCCTCCGGGTTATCCGCGAATGACGACAGACCTACAACGGACGTTAATACAAGCGATACTTACGTCTTGCAATAGCAAGGGGGCAGGAGGATATAACGGGAACTCAGACGGACCAGGCTCGACTTTAGTTATCCAGTTCCTCGCCTGCTTTGACACCCTTTTCAACCTTGGGTAACGTGTTCCGCACAATATCGCCTTGTTCGGCGAGAACTACGCCGGGGTCTTTCCAGCTGTATATCTGAAGTCTTGAACCAGACGAGCCGGCGTCGATAACCACTCCAAATCGGCGTGCAGCCAGCCATGGATCGGTGGATGTCGGTGGGGGCATAGACTAGCGTCCTGTGAACGTCGATACCGGCGCTCCAACTCCACGATTGAGTTAGAGTGTGATCTGGAAGCGATTGATGGGCGGTTGGCGATGAAAGGAATGTTTGAGAAACTGCCACCGACGCTGGCGCAAATTTCGCGAGCGAGCACGTTCTGCAGTTGGCAGTGCTGGCACTGTTGGTACGGTCGTTCACTGCGCCGCGGATCCCCCTCAACGTTGAATTAGCGTGTCCGAATGTAGTGCTATACCAGCCAGTGGTAGTGGGTGATTGAACTCGTAGCAGAGGAAAAAATTATCTTAGATACAGGTTCTGCATGCTAAGTTGCTAGGGAAAGCTATAGGATATATTGCGATAGATGGTCATATTCGGGGGATCCTTTGGTGAAATATATCACTTGGAGATCGTAGCCCTCCTCGGCCTCGTCCTAGTCCCTCCCGGAACAATCTTCTTCTCTGGTTCCTGATGTACCTTGCTTAGGTCAATACCCCACAACCGAGCTTGGACCTCGCGCAACCTCATTACATCGTCCACCCAGTCTGTCTCGCTGGCTTTCTTCACAGCACAGTCATGTAACCGTTGCTCCTCTTCGTCGGAGAGCAGCATTGCAGAAGTACGTTCACCCGACCTCCATAACAACAGCTGTTTGATAGCCTCTGGTAGGAGGATGTTCAAGCAGTACTGTACCAGTTGTCAATGACCTTGTTGGGCACAGGAAAGGATATTCTCACATCAAGCTTCTCAACGCCAGATAATGAGTCAAACTCGTCGCATGCCACTTGGAGAGGGCGGGGTTGTCCTAGGCGGTCCGATGTTACAGAAGTCGGCTAGAAAGGACAATGAAGTGTAGTGGTGTAAATATGGGCTTGCTGACACTGACCTTGACTGGCTGCTCCGGAATGGGGTTCAGTTCCACAGTACTGAGGGGCCCAGGTTGAAGCTAAGGGTCTATCAGGTCATGTCTCGAGGTGACCCCAAACAACCCATACATCACAATGGCCATTGGGTTGCTGCGTCTCGGTCTTCTTACCCTCTGGTGCTACTGCAGCCACATTGCTTGCCTCTTTGAGAGGGGCGCTCGGTGTCTTCTACGTGTCAGAGTGGTGTTGCAAAAGAATGGAACACATTTACCTCGCCGACTTCATCAACTACCATGCAAGTGTCGGAATTCCCAGAAGCACCTTCCTTGCTGCTATCTCCTGAGCTTGATACCTGCGGTGCTTCTTCGGCTACTCGTGAATCACTGGGAGGATTGGATTTGGATTCCACACCTCCTTCTGTTTTCTCGTTCTGTGAGTCTTTCTTATCCAATGGTTCCGACGGCACCGCTGGATCTACAGGATCCGTTGCACCTTCACCGTTTTCCATACTCACATCCGGATCTATGGTTCTCTTGATGCGCCTGGCGCTGTCTCCAAGTACCCACTTGCAAATGGCACGTTGCACAGCTTTGATAAACCGTGCATCCAATCCGCCTCGCACACCCGCATCTTTCAATAATGCCGCACGTGCAGACCCTCCCTTCATGAAAGCGTCATGCTTCGGTATAGCTGGTTTGTATCCATTTACAAGGACTGCGCGTAGCACGGGTTTGACGTATGCCAGCTGCGTATCCACTGATAAGCCATCGAATTCCGTCGGGGGTGGAGGCCTTGGGGGGACACTTCCAACGTCATCTTGGCCTTCCCCTTGCGCTGCCACGCTCTCGTCTTCGGAGTCAAGGTCATCGGTAGTCTTTATCGTGCTCTCCCACTCGCCCAATGCACAGGTGACGAAGCCTTCTTCCTCTGAAGTCCAAAGCTTGGTCCGACTGACGGCATAAATCTTGTCATCCAGGAACATGACCCGATACTTTTCCGATTTGTCTGGATGATGCTCGAGAATCTTCCCCGGCCAGTAGAATGTGCTACCAGGTGCCTGTGCAAGAACAAGCTCTCCCGGGATTTGAAGCGTAGGGTCGGGTGGACAAGGAGAAAAGTTTTTAGGCGTTTGAGCGTAGGCGACCTTAAGATTACCCACCGACCGTTGGGATCGAGGCTTCTTAACTGACTGAGTTTTCGACGGTGACTTGCGCTTGGGACTAGACGTAGAGGTGGGTTTCCGAAGGTCGGAGGTATCAACGTCAGATTCGTCGAGGGAATCGTAAAAGCTTCCAACGCCACTAGCATAGGAAGAGATGAGAGCGGGCAATCCTTCGCGCTCAAGTGCGGTGGCTTTCTCCATGCTAGAAACCGCTGCCTCCCAACGATCGACGAGGCTCGCTCCGCCTTCAAATCGCTGCTTTTTGGCAGGTGGAGAACTGGTGACGCCTTCCTCTCCAGATGCGGTGCGGAAGGTCAGCCGATTAAAGCGTCTCTTCCCACTTTCGTCGTTCACAGAGAGTATATTTTCCGATGAGGGTGATGAGCATTGTACACATCTTACGGGGCGATGAGGAAGTAGAAGGGAAATCACCAAAGAGCGTGACACGAAGGGGATTCTTCGCTATTATCTGCGGCGAAACTTTGAGCTTAGCACATAATATAAAATATGTCTCCCGTTTACCTGAGCAGGCCACCAAAAGCACTCCTCAGCTATGGCAATCACATCCCCATCTTCGGTGGGTTGAAAGGTATCCCCGACGATTACTCCGCACTGGTTTACTAAAACCCAAGCAGGCAAGCCAACTTCCCAACCACTCAGGTCCGTTTTAACGCCGGCTTTGGCTAGTTTCTTGCGAGGTGTGAAAGTGGCCTGTGATGCGCTAGCCTTTGAAAGAGGGAAAGTCGCAGAGCTTGGAAGCGTCATCCGCGACAAGGGAACAGACGTAGATGACGCTGATTCTGTTAGCGTGACTGACCGGAGGAGATGCTGGAGGATGTTGCTTTGAAGGTGCGATTGGGCTTGACGGGAGACTAGATAACGGCGAACACGATGACAATTCTCTATCAGAAGTAGATGGTAATGCCTTGCGCTTGAGTGAATGAACAGCTGCGGGTATACTTGGCGTAGGTTGGGACAATGAAGCAGATGGTTTGGGTGTTAACTTTAGCTTGGGCTTCGACTGCACCTTGGCCTTTCCCGTGCGTTCTGGTGAAGAAGAGCTGCCCTTTAGTGGCGACGATCGGTGCTTGCCTGTAGCAGTATACCGATACTTCACGTTCTTCAGCTTGCGAGCACTAGGCTCACCGAAGGGGTGTGAGGTTGGGTCGTTATCCGAGCGATTTGCATCTTCGTCAGAGCGACCCGGGGAATCCATGAGTTGTTCTGCAAAGTTCGCAGACGCACGCCTCGCCGCCCTACGCGCAGGCAGCACTCGTTCCGACAGACCTCTGTTCTCTGGACTGGCCATGGAACATGAATATGTACGTGGCGTCGTCGAAGGAAATATCGATGGGGTCGATTTGGATAATTTCCGATATTTTGACAACCTCAAGCATACAGTGGGGCAAGCAAATGGCGGGTGTCCGTACAGTGGGACGACGGAGGCAAGTGACGGGGAAGCGGACCTCCAGTCACGTGATCGCCTTGCGCCCAAGTTGCAACTGACGTCAGACCCGCTGACCGACTATCATCCTCGAAGTTCACCCCTGCATTCTGGAACAATGCTGTACCGGTGTGTTCTTTCACCATGTAGACTTTAACTCGGCGCAGGTGATAGAATGGACGAGATGCAGTGAAATGATGATGGCTAACAATGTTGCTGAGTCCTGTCTTGCAGCTCGCCGCCACCAGCGCACGGCAGCATTGTCAATGCCTGCCATACAATGCTCTTGGATAAGGTCATTACCGTGTTCACGTTCTTATCACATCAAATCCCAAGTACAATGTTTCCCTACTTTTCTCCACCAAGTTACCCGCTGCTGCGACACGCTCAAGGAACATTCTCCAGCGAGCGCCGTGTACTCTCCGTGATAAGTCGTGTCGAAGTCCGGTACACCACTGCAATACTGTTTTCATCACTGCCGATCTGATCCGTCCGCCGAATTGGCTGTATGTTGTGCTAGTACTACTTAGATGGCCCTGTCCCATGCACTCCCTTCATGTCCATCTCATTCAGTCATTCAATTCCGCACCTGTAATATGTGGTTTGATCACCCTTCACTTGTCTGGACTCCGTCTTAATCCGAAGTACGTGCACTTCGTTACTTTCCCCATTGGTTCGATCGCTTATCGCCTCATCATCGACGCAATCGCTCATTGGAAGATATGAGATGCCGCAGTCTATCGATACGATACAGCTCGTCCACTTGTTCTTATGGGTATGTTCAACACCTCTTCTCACGACGCGCGTTCGCAGGTTTGTCGCATTCTGCACATTTACCACGTTCACGTCTGCTCCTGGCGTTCTCTACCCTTTCTGTGGTGTCTTACCTTCAACTACCCTCACGGTGGCGTCCTCGTGACAGCTCCAATTTTCACATTTCCGAGACTTCTCATGCACGCAGGACAGGCACTTGACGGTAATGTCTACTTGCACACCCAAGCTTAGCGAGGTGTGTGGTCTCTGAGTGGAGAGAAGCTCAAAGCTCACTTCAAGCCATGAGTTAAGGGTGAACTGCTTTCTATCCTGGCGTTTAACGCCTGTAGCTGAAGGGACCCTTGGCTTTCTGCTGTTTTTTTGGGGGGAGCGACTTTTCTACGGTAAGATTCTATTATGGGCTGAATAAAACTATGCAAATGAAAAGCACGCATTACGTTACACGTATACTGGAGTGAACTCTTCTTTTTACTGCCGTGTCACAGCCATGGTGGCTTGATTTGGTAGCTTGCGTCTAGTACTGTGGATATCAAGCACCGCGTAAGAGCAGTCTCTCATATCCAATGTTCGAACTCTAACCTAACGTTAACAGGTTCCTACTACTTCCGCAGCTCTGGTTTCTCAGTCAGACATATACCCGTGAACGAACCAAATCGTGCCTCTGGTGCTGATGGGCACGAGGGAAGCGTCCCGGTTCAATAGTATCCCTCACAGCACCTTAACTGCCTAGGTGCTGCTTCTGCAAGTTTCACACATATTCCAGTATGGAATATCACTTCGATTACGCCAAACAGGTCGGTAACAGTACTGCACTGCGTCGGGCAAACCAAAAATGCTGCCCTTTCTTCCATGGTTCCCGGATTCCTTAACGGTATGCCTGGACGCCCATATAAGGTCCAATAGGTCTGGCACGACCGCATCTGGCGACTTGTTGTTCCAGATACAGGAACCCCAATTGTCAAAGCCTAGCCTCACCGCTCAGCGGGGAAAAGGACGTGGGGGGACGAGGGACACCCTGAGTGGCAGCCCTACTTGCGAATGGAGTTTCCAGAAAATGTGACCCTTCAAGGGTCATCTGACCTCTTGGCGTTTCAATGTTATTTTTACTTTGATCGAACGTGATGGCTATGGGACATAATTCTGGGGACAGGAGTCCAATCCCATCGATTTGTTATACATGGCGGTCTTACTGCTTAGTTCTGACCTACCCGTGTGCCTGTATTCTGCGAGAGTGGTGATGCATTGCCAGGTGCCAGTGTGCAGAGCACGCTCAGGACCCTCGAAGCTATACCCCATAATAACCTCGTAAGTACTGATTACAGAAAGAGACGCAGTAATACAAACGCCACCTTCTAAAGGCGAGACAATTGCATTGGATTTTTGCGTGTTCAGAGCTCCAGGGATGCTGCTAGTGGCAATGGTACCCTTGCGATCGATCGGCTCGTCCCTGCGTAGAATCAATCATCAACATCACAATCTCTATCCACGGGGGGGCCGTGCCCATACAACACGGCACGATCAAGAATCAGGCCATCGCACTGCACGCAAGAAGGAGTCGAGGAATTTGCGTGTGTTGCAGAAGGGGCGGAGTGGAGGGAGAGGGGAGCTCTGAGCGGCCGTTCGAACAATGACGGGAGAACGAACGTCGAAGATTAACTACATTCCAGCGGCGACCTGCAATGAACGATATGTCCGCTCTCCATGAGTTACGGACGCTGCTGAGAGAAATAATAACCTCACAATTGAACTGGGCTCAACCATCCATGCTGACATGCGCAGGAGGTTCGATATTGTCTGAATCGGACTCGATCTCGATTACCCTGCGTGGCCTGGTTCGGTCTGTGCATGGGACCAGATTTCATTTAGGTCTCGTCCAAACATGTCGGGTGCTATCAGTGTCGTGCCTGATTGCCTCAGCTCCTCGAGGCCTCGAGGCATGCAAGCAAACATCTGAACTATCCAAATAAACGCGACGTGGCGTGCCACCGACGCGTGGTGAACGCGTCGCGTCCATTCTCCCTCGCATTAAAATGTGTACTTAGTTCGGATGGGGTCAACGGGTCCAGCGACCAGGCGCTTCACTCAGTTGCCAGGTGACGATCAGGTGATGGCACCACATGACATTTGGACGGAACTCGTACGTCAACGATACACGCGAGCTAAAATCGATAAGGCAAGGAAGCCTAAGGAAGCAGCATAAGTTACTGGGAAGGGCGCAAGGCGAAATTGGAGCGAATGTGAGCGATACAAGTAGCGTAAAGCCCGAGGAATAACACCAGAAAGAAAATCCTGAGCATAATGTACCTGAAAAAGACGATACATGAATTCATGTATAGTGCATAAGAACCTAGTTGCCGTATCTATGAGCGCCAGAAATGATAGAAGATGACCAAGAGTTAGAGCTACAGTCCTCGGCAGTGAGCATGAAAAAGATAAGAAACGGTTTATAGGGCATACGGCATAAGTAATCACCGGCGATCGCGGGACTGTGAACGCGTTGAGATATCAACCGAATGTCTGCGGTATAAATTTTTCCTAGATGACCGTGAGGTTCTCGACAAGTTCGACAAGTCCGAGGCAAAGCTTAGAATGCGGCTGAATAGCGGCCTTCTTGGAATACGGCCCGTTACGGAGTCAGGCGTACGAGGCATGGAAACCGATTTAGTGGATGCACTCCCGTTGTATAGAGAAGGCTCGGGGCCGACCTGTGTTGGCAACACACATTGATGTCAGCAATGGAACGAGGCGCCAAGCTCGACTAGTCGGTTGCGGACTTACCAGGACCTTCACTTTCTGGCCTGCACTTGGGAGGACGTAGTACGTGCTGCCAGATTCGCCACTAGCGGCTTCACTGATCGGCGTGTGAGAACGAGGGATGTCCTCTCTAGGTCGTGGACCCTTCGGGCCATAGCGTTGTTCTTCCTGTACTGGAACACGATGGTTATGCACCGGAGGATATGGCGCATTCACAATACGGGGGTATTGAGGGAACCCGGAGCCAGCTGGCGAAGACACAGCGTGGTTCATTCCGGGGGCTTTGTGTGATGCATAGACGATCGTAGGCGGAGCATAGTGATCGGTGTTGCGATTATTGCCAGGGGCGTAAACGATCGATGGAGGTGGTCGGTTACCACGTGAATGAGAGTGACTGGGGTGGTGGTGATCATATGGATCATGGATACGTTGTGAATGTGAATACGTGACCGCGGGGACGTTCAAAGTATTGGAAACATAGCGAGGAGGGGGGCTGTCGTATACATCTGAATCCCGACTTGGCTGCGACTGCGAGCGAGCACGGAATGGCTCTGACGAACGTCTGGGTCTGTAAGAGCCAGTGACGCGCTGTGGTTTGGCATTCGGGTCTGCAGGGAGGACTTGGATATCCTCTGGTGCCGACTCATAGTCCGGGTCTTCTGGAGAGATGGGTTGACCGAACTTTTCTGAGTGGTGGTAGCCATCGTGTCCATGATAGTGGTGACCTGGGGTCACCGGGCGATGACCAGCGACAGATCTCGAGCGGTCATGGGAGTAGCGGTGGGGTGTTTGGGGGCGCGAGCGCGGTGCAGGACCGCGATAGAGCGACTGCTTCTGTGGGTAATGCTGGCCGTCATAGTGCCAGTGAGAGATGGGAATATCCCCTCGTCCGTCCGAGTACCTGAGCATCATTTTCGGTGGTAGCGAAGAAGAACTGCTGCCGTCTGAATCACGTTCTCCTAGATCAATGTCCTCGACCGCAGACGGTGGACTGTCTGGTGAGCAAAAGTGGTCGGAATACGATATCTGAGTGTGCACCCAGTTCGTGATGCGGTCTGGTGGTGCCGGGTCTGTGATAATCTCAATGACCTCTGGTGTTTCTGTATACTCTGTCATGATGTCCACCACTGATGAGAAAGACAGCAGATCTCACAACAAGAACGACGGCAAACGTCAACTTTGGTGGAGGGGCGCGGAGAGGGCTGAAGCAGCAAGACAGGTCTGAAGGGGCCCAGTAAATTTTATAGGGAGCTGCAATCCCGTGCCAGTTACGAGAGGGGCCCGGCCACTGTTGCTGACTGAGATACGAAAAGAGGACAAGAAAGGACAGGCGAGATCCAGATGACAGGTACGACCAAAGTTTGAGTCGAACATTGCTATTTTGGAGGAGGGAATACAGCCATCATTCCACCACGCTGACTTATTTCCGATCGCAACCTGCAAAGAAAATTTCAGATGATCAAGCAGAATCGCGGTGTCGACAAGACTGGCACGAGGTGAACGTGGGTGCAGCGAGGCAAAGGGTATTTCCATGTGTAGCATCTTCTCGGTCACAGGCTCACAGCCTGCACTGCGCGTGAGCCGAGAAAACACCTGCCGAGGCCATACCCTCCTAATACCTGGTATTCTCGGTGCACCCAAAGTGAGGCTTGCAACGCGTCATATGCTGGAAAAACCTGCTGCACACCGATTCCAACTGACCATCGAGTAGAAGCTCACTCACCGCAGCACGGTCTTTCACAACGATCTCCCAAAGACAACTGTACATGGTTCAGTCAAACCGAATTCTCCTGTCATACATATTCGGCTGAAGGGCTGTGTATTTAATGACGCCTGCGAACAAACTCACCACCATACTCGTCCAACAAAAGATGACCGGGCACGACTCAATCCGTGAAGCGCTCGAGGATTACCTCCATTTGTGAACGCAGACTAGGCCGATGAGAGGCCTCGCAGCAGTGCTTACGTGCAAGATTCCGCTTCGAAACCGCCCATTAGCGCAAATGGCTAAAGTACCAGTTGTCAGCTCCACCTGATAGCTTTCCTTGGGAGAGGTTACAGAGCAACCATTAACGCTGCCAAGATTCCAACGGAACCGGCCAATGACAGTGATGGCCGAATCAGTCGGCACTTAGGGGGCGGTGTCCACTGTCCGCCATTCAGGCGTTGGCACGGCCAATGCGAAACATTTGAAGAAGCGAAAGACGTGGCACTACGCTTAGCATCTCGCTCTTGCGACTCTGCTGGTGAGAAATCGGATCGACTTACGCAAGTACGTTGTACACCGGAGTGGCTGCGACCACAAGCAATGCTACAGCAACTGGGCCGCGTCACCGTGAGGGCTACTCCGTATGGTGTAGCTGAGCATCGCATTTGCATTCATTGAATCAAAAGGAGTTCATACAGCAACCAGTGTGAGAGCACCAGATCGAGTAAAAGCTACCAAGAATATCAAAGAGCTCTAAAAGAACTCGAACTGAAAGGGCTTCACGAACTACCTGAACAAGAGCAGGAATAGGCCCCGCTCTTGCTTGGTTTGCACATAGCTCACCGTCCGTCTCAGCGTAAATGACAAGTTCACGAGTTGATGGGCCCAGGTTCGGAAAAAAGGAGGCACGTATCAGTTTGGTTAGGGTAGGTCAGTTGGAGAAGACAGCATAAGAAGATCTAATCACCCCTCTGCGAAGTCCCGGCTTCCTTCAGAATCGCACAGATAAGCAGGACGAACGCGGAACAGATAATCGGAGATTCGTGTCTCTTTCAGAACAACTGCGAGATTCATTTTCAAATATCCTGGAACGGGCTAGGTGAGGCCCAATATCTCCCGAATCCCACCTAATCGTCCAGCCCTCCATTTCCTCAGTGTGCATAACCTCACGAACAATGCACTTGACTGGGGTCGGGTCCGACTTGAAGCTTGATCTTTCAACACGCCACAGGCACATACCAAGGGTCATCGTAGAGACTTGATTGGATTGTAAGGTGTTTTGGAATCTGTGGGCGGTTAGTGATGACGTCACCGAACGGAAGCAAACCAATTCTCAGTGCGAGAAGCCGGATATTGCCGTGGCTTCCAGACTTATTAAGGTGTCAGCCGTGCGCTTGGCCGAATGGCACACTTATGACTCTGCCAGTACTGGTACCGGTCTCGAGTGTCGCCCAAATTGAAACGTTGAAGAATTTGACAATGACCATGCTGAGGCGGTGAACATGATACTCCCCAGCGGCCCTGGTTGAGAATTTGTCGTTATCGCGATTGATCCCATTCACCTCGGTGGGGTAAGAAGACGTTCCTACTGAGTCCGCTAAGACATCGCAAAGATTCATTGGCTGGTATACTTGTCCTGAACCAAGATTCAAGAATTCCATCAGCGTTGATGGAATCTGCATCAAACCATAAACATTTTCTCTGGAACACGTGGACCAAGAGCGCATCATAATTGGACAAACGATAGGTATTATTCCTCAAGAAATCATGCCCCAGACCAGCTTGAACAGCGGAAGCTAATGAGAATAGGACCAAGAGGTATTGGGGATAGTGGATGGATGTCAAAGTAAAAGGGGAGATGCAGTAGTAATGTGGATGTCAAGACAAACTAATCACAGATGGAGTGTAATCTGATACTAGATATAAGCTATGCACAAACGAAAGCAAGTCCGCAAGATGAGCAAAGAGTCGAAGCGTCATCTCGGTGGGTCACGTCATAGAAGATCTCCGGTTCTAATGCTTCCGGCTCTTCACAGGTAGGGTAGAGGCTCGGCCGACTTCGACATCACCAACCTCGAAGAGTGGGTGAGGAGCAGAAGGAAGAGTCTGTGGGACAGATGGGAAGGCATCAAAGATATCTTTATCAAAAAAACTCGACGGAGATGTCGGCGAGAGCTCGGAGCAAGAATCACGAGAAGCCCAAGTTGCAGATCTTGGCCCTGCATCCTGGCCACTACGGCGCCCAGGAGGGGATACTTCAGGAGAGGGTATGTTCAAGCTACGTTGCGGTGTCTCATACAGAGAACTGCGGTCTGGAAGGGGTCAAGTTCGCTGGAGAGTGAAACATAGACACTATCAACCATACCTGTCTCTGCCGCGCTGAGATTGCTCACGTTTGACCTCGTCCGACTCCGATTGAACAGCTTTTCAGTGAATGAGCTAGCTCTTCCAGCTCCCCTCTTAGGAGACACACTCGGCCACGCGATGCCGAAACTTCCATTCCGACCACTCCCAGTGTCAGGTGGGGTGGCGACCGACGCAGAGTCTTCAGAAGACAACGATATACTGTCACGGGGGTATGCCCCTGGCATGTTCGCGGAAGATCGGCGATTTGTAAGACGGCGGAAACTGGACAGGTACTTTCTATGCGAAGGCGACCTCTGGGAGAAGGTTGTAGACGCGAGACTCTTGCCATCCGAGGCCTCATCTTCCTCTGGGATCTCCGGAATTTCCGGATCAAGGACAGGCTCGCGGATCGCAGGAATCGAGATAGATAGTCGAGAGAAGCAGTCGGCGTCCGGCGAAGGCGAAACGGGCTTCTGCTCTGTCAGAGTAGTCGCCGACTCGGAACGAGGATCGGACTGGAAAGTCGCACTTGTGGGAGTCTTCAGTGAGGAAAGGTCCATATTCTCTGATGCATCTCCTCCTGTCAATTTCAATTCGAGCAGCGCTGCCTCTTCCAGGAGTATAGTCAATTCACCAGGTGCCTGGTTGGATAGCGAGTTATTAACGTTAGTGACAACAGAACGCCGCACTTTCGGAACCTGTGGTGTTGGAGAAGCAGCAAGGCTGGAAGCAGGAGCAGTGGCAGCAGGGGTTTCCGTAACTTTACGGTGAACGACTGCTTTGAAAGTCGTCCTCTTTTCCGAAGGAGTAACCTTCGGTTTCAAGAGGGGCGACGGAAGGCGGGCTTTGTCCTGCTCATTGCTGCCCATTGCTGTGACGGAGGTAGTGCTAATTGGTTGTTCCTCGAAGACGTTTGTGGTAGCCACTGCGGCAATGGTACACAAAGCCGCGGGGCTACTGACTGTATCCGGTTTCTCCTCGGCAGTAGATGGCAGGCTACAAGAGATAGAATCTGCGGGAAGTACAGGAGGCGCAGTCGGGGGTTCAGATGAAGGAAAGGGCTGAAAAACCACATGTATTGGCTGAGTGACAATACCCCTGTCTAACAAAGGGTCCGACTTCCCAACTGTCTCATCCATAGCGGGGGACGAAGACAACTCGCAATCCAACGGCAGTACATCAGAGGTCGACTTTGTATCCGGAGACACGGCGTCCGAGGTCGACTCGTCATCCAACAGCGTTGCATCAACATCCGGCGTTGGTGTACTTCCGTCTGGCACAGTAGACTGCTCCGGCTCTGTCGTGAACGACACGAATTCTTCTTCTACCACACTGTCTTCCGCATCCTCTTCTTGATGGTGAGAAGTTGGTGGTTTAGCGGAAACCAGAACTTTAGCGGTCTCCGGAGAGAGAGACAACGATGTGAGTTGGGTAGCGATGGCTGTAGTAATCACATCATCTTCCGCTGGGCTAGGACGTGGCAAGGATGACGGCGAAGGCGAGTCGAGAGCGTCCGAAAGAGAACTTGCGGAGAACAGAACTTCAGAGGTCTCCAGAGGGAGAGACGGTGATGCGAGTGGGGTAGTGGTTGCTGCAGTAACCACACCATCTGGTTCCTCCGCTGGACTAGGACTGGGCAAGGAAGGCGGTGAAGGAGAATCAAGTGCGTCTGAAGGAGAACCCGCGGAAAACAGAACTTCAGAGGTCTCCAGAGGGTAAGACGGTGATGCGAGTGGGGTAGTAATTGCTGCGGCGACATCATCTGGCTCCTCTGCCGAGCTAAGATTGGGTAAGGGTGACGGTGAAGGCCAATCAAGGCCGTCCGAAGGAGAACCCGCACATCCAGTGCTTACAGCACGCCTCCCTAGACCAAAGTTGATGGCAAGCGAATTACGACGGGGCGTGTGAAGGGTCGCACTGTTAGGAACTGGTGGTACAGAATCTCCAGAATTGAAGGTCGTTAGAGGACTAGAAAGGGCGCCGCCTGTCGAAATGCATCTTTTCCGAGGATTCGGGGTGTCGCCGTCCAATGGCATCGGTGACCCAGATCTGCTCACGGGTGGCCCGTTGGGTCGACCCAGTCCCTGTATCCGATTACCATACAACTCTCCACGTTTTTTCGCAGCTACACCATCTGTCGAAGGAGGTGGTACGCCCATCGCGAAACTGCCCCTCGGTACAGGGATGCCACCTTTCTCCTCAAATTTGGCAATTTTGTCGCGCAGAGTGCCTGTTCCTGTAGTTGGAATGCCTTTCGAGGCTATCGTAGACGAATGTTGATTCGGAGAGACATTGCGTTGCTGGAGGGCCGCGATACGCTCCTTGAGGTTGACTGGAGGCGTTTGTACTCGAGAAGCCCTAGGCAAGGATTAGCGTAGAACGCAAACGGTTAGATCCTTCCCACTTACATGGCAATGTCCAGGCGTCGATGAAGGAGTGAGTTTTACAAAATGAATTTGGGGGTGAAATAGTAGAAGAAATAGGCCGGCCAGGGCGGAACACGTAGTGGTGGTGACTTCGTGGTGGAAAAAAAGGAACTCAGGAACGGAGGGTAAATGGAGGCAAGTCGAAAAGGTACGCTTGAGGCCTCGAAACGATAGACAAAGTGAATTAAAGATGGAAAGAAAGACGGGCGCGAGTCTGGCAGTGATGCTGGAGGAATCAGACTAACGATGAGGGCGACTGGCTGAGGCGTCCTGCAGAGGGCGCTAAACTCTTGCCCTCGCCGCAATATATTACGGTACAGAGACAAACGCGTGGAAGACATGTAGGCTACACAGCAAGGTACCATAATAATGCCCGTATATACATCCCACTATGGGCTAACTGCTGTCGTCCACCTGCGACTGTTGTCTGTCTGCTTTGTTCAACCAGAAGTCTCGGCGTTTCTCTCGCGGAAGCTTCGAAGGAGGCTTCACATCAAGACTGTTTTGACGACCTCCTTTGTTTGCAGAATCTTCCCCATGCCCATCATCGTCATCGTCATCATCGGTGGTATAAATAGTGAGAGAGTTAAAGTGATTGTGCGTGTTAGAGCGCCCGTGTGCCGGTCGCTTTCTTTGAATATGGTATTTTCCATCTTCATCAGAATCATCGGGTCGTGTACTTGGCTTGCGAAGCTTTGCATCACTATCTTCATCGGAACTGAGGTCCATGTCACCTTCCTCTAAGCCATAATCCAAAATGACAGGTTCACGGCGGTAGGTAGGCGCATCGGAAATACCAAGCAAGTGGTGCAGAACTTTGCTATCGTGGACCTCATGCAGGAGCCGTCTATTGTTGATAGTCTGGGAAGAAGCTCATCACGTCGACGTTTTTAATCAGTGTGCGCGACGTACCTCCTGAGTGACACCTAGGATCTTCGACAGAATACTCAGGTCACCAGGATCACGGTGCGGGCGCAAGGGAATATCACGTCGTTCTCGACGAGAGTTGAGAATCCCGGCCCGATGAAATGCATTGGCCAGCATAATTTCATGGGCACCAGCAAACGTCTGTCGTACTTTAGCAATACCATACGAGCCCTTCGATATGTCATTCGCTGTTCAAGCAGTAAAGTTTAGGAGAAGCTAAACGAAATATGACAAGGCGTACTCACTAGGATCGATTGGGTCTTCCACGGAAAGGAGGTTGCTTTTCACTGAATCATACCATCCCCTTTGTCGCTTGCTGAAGTACCCGCCGCCATTCCTAACGGATATTCCGACCTCTTCATAGTTGAAATAGCGGCCGAATAACTCGAAAAATTCCATGACGAGGATCCCAAGGTTTTTCTCCGCCTCTATTTCGCCTCTCCTGATTTTTGGGTGCATCTGCAGGAAGCTTATAGCAAGGCACACTATGCTGTAACTTCCCAGACCACCCGTGAAAACTTCGTTCATCCCCCGTTGATTGAGGAACGCTTTTACAACCAATACCAGACTGCGCAATGCGGACCCACAACCATCCATGTATCGTAGGAATCCGTTGATGACCTTGCCTGCAGTAATACCGTTCCCCTGGTTGATACTTATGTCTACGTTGACTCTCCCGTAATTCGTGACGAATTTGATGATGGGCACTTTTGCTTTGGCGATGACGGTGAATTTTGAGGTGATTCCGGCTCGCTTGATGGTGTTCGCGAGGGCGTATAAGACATGAACCTTGTTGCTGTGCGCCATGCTTTCTGAGTCTACTACAAGGTCGATATCGCTATAGGATGTCAGAGCTTGTCGAGGCCATGGTTCGTGGTTACCCACCCGTCGGGAAGGTATAGCTTGGTTTCGTAGCTACCAAACGGCGATATTCGTGCGTCAGGGAATGCGGATGTGATTGCTCTTGAAACCAGTGACACAATGAGAGTTCGAACCTCGTCTTCAACAGGGGTAGGCGACATGTATTTCACGAAGGCTTCCACTTCACGATGTAGCCTGTCAGTACCACTTGAGAATGGGATGGAATTGTGGTCAAGCCGAACTCACAACTCTGCAACATTACGACAACCGTCCCAATCGACATTGTTGACCCATGGAGCTGACCTTGCTACAGGCCACGTTCGTTTATAGGTACGACCGTCGTCGTCGGAAAGGTCATCGTGTTTCCTCTTGGTACCTCTGCTCCGGCTGTCTCCATCATGTCCATGTAATAGTTTTCCCTTATCCCATTCGCGCTCTACTTCCTTTCCCTTCGGGCGTGCATCTAGTTGTTCGTGCTGGTATGCCGCACCCCCATCCTCGCCAACCTCGAATGGTATGAAGTCGTCCCCAATACCGTGTTGTATTTTCTTTCCGACCTCGATCTCCCCCAGTTCGATTTCATCATCACCTCGGACAAGCTCTTTTCCTTTTCCCTTGCTGCTCCCCTCCACTCGTGCACGTTTGGAAGGTCTGTCCACAGGGGAAGAGGAACGAGCCCGGGGATCGTCCCGATCATGGTAGTGAGTATGACGACTGTCATACTCCTTGCGTCTTCTGCGTTCTCTTTGGTGGTCACGGTCCCGCCGTGAACTGCTTGGTAGTAATTTCCGAGAGGAACTGGAAGGATTGGATCGTTCGTCGTGCATCCCAGTTGGAGTGATGTCAGCCTCGTGTTGGGTGACTTGCTCGTTCTTTTTTCGGTATGCACAGTTCTGGGTGGTGTTTCAATATTTTTCTCGTCACAACAAACCTTGCTGTACACCACTATTGTTCATGACTTTGTTCGTCGTCTACCTTTCTTCCCCGAAGACAACGTGGATTGGTCACCAACTTGGATATAGGTAATAATGTGCTCGCAAAGAAGTAACGTCCCCTGGCTATGTACCGTCAAAATATCTCCTTGAAACTCCAAAATCTGCATTTTACAAATGAACTCTCTGCAGTTCCATGTGCAGGGTAGGTTCGATGTCCAACCCTGTTCCATCCTGCTGCATAAAAATGCATACGTCATGACAATCATCCTGCAAATTTTGTCCGACCACCGCCCAATGCAAGTGCCCTCCAATCTCTCTTTCAACCTGACCGCCGACTCCCTCTCCAAACTTTAGACAAATCATAGACTCTGCATCGTTTGGGATGCGTTCGAAGTCTATATCCAAATGGACCATGCCTAGGATGTTGATGAATGGCGCAAACACCCTTAGCAGCTCCTGGTTCCGCTCGCCTGCTATCCATGCCTCGTGTGCCTCGACGCTTTCCCACCCAGTGATGAGGTGGATTTCAGAGGGTGCTTTGGGGTTTGTGAAGAAAAGCAGCGGGTAGCCAGAACATTCCGACTGCCATGCGAAGAGCTTTTGGAACAGTGCAAGTATGGCGGGCTCCGAAAGGCTACGAGAAGCCTTGAATTGAAGAGAGGCAAATTCGGTGATTGGCAGCAATTTTGGTAAGACGATAGACGGTTCTTGGGCAAGTACAGCGGATCTCGGATGTGGATAAGAACTGAGTGTACAGCCTGAGGCATACGTCACTTCCCAAATGGCGTGGTCCCTGTCCCGCTGACGCGTCCATTGGTCACGTACCTGCATAAGGACTATCGATCATTCTTGATGATCTGAGTCTTCGACCTTTAAATGTGAGCGCGACGTGCTGAGATGCAATAGACTCGGACCGAGTCTGACAAGTGGGAAACATCTCCTGGAAAGGTTTTCTTTTCTTTTTTTTTTTTGCTATGATTTCATTCATGCCCAGTGATTTGCGGCCACCCTTCTCTCCCATCTCTGCCCCTGGATTTCCTTGGTCTCAGTCTGGCAGTTAAAACTGGAGTCAAATACGTCTCACACGCTGAAATTACAATGCCGCTCGAGTGCGAGCTCTGCTGCTGCGAATCTCGCGTCTGCGCTCGATTGCGGCATGCTATGTCTAGCCTGGTATACGATATATCCCTGGGGGGAGCGTAGAATGTGCCAACGTAGCGGCAGGGTACGGACAGTCGGCGCACCGAACAAGTGAGCGGGTTATTGTGAGTCGAATGAACTCGATCAATCAATTTGGGTCGACTCAAATGTTATCCGGCGTTCACCCCCTCCACCATGCTAGGCCTTGCACGCCTTATCCAATAGGCGCACTGATAATCGATCAACAAGTTCTGCGTCCACAGTTCTACACCCTCTCCGTTCGTCTCTCATCATCGTTCACTGCCCACTGCCTGCCTGGATGTTTGAGATTTTCTGTTTCAGTTGTTGATCATTCATTACTGTATCATTCATGGCTCCTTGGTTTTTCAGTGCCTTATGCTGCTCATGGAAGCGTCGTCAGCGGCCTCTGAGCAGTGGGGTGTGTTGGAAATATCCATAATAGTTCCGACGTCTAGATTGATCCAGACTTACACGTGTATCAACACGTTGTTCATCACATGACAATCCTTAGCAATCAGCTCCACAATGATGTCATGGTGACATCATATTATACGTCATATTCCATGACCTTCTGCACTATTCCTTACTATACTGAGTAGTAGTTTCCTTTTACGCTACTGGTCCATGTGTACCTACTCATGTATATAAACTTGGGGATTTCTTCCTCAATCCCCATTGAATTCTACATTTGTTCTTCACTTGTCTATTTGACAACTGAGCCCCTCAACACTTAACAAAGCTTTTCATCAAATGCTACTACTGTTCTGAATAAAGGCAAGTGTTCTTGCCATTGCTCTTCATTCTTTCCGTTCCTCTGCGCAATAGGTTATGAGCCCCGCCTATTACTAGGTGGTTAGCTATTTGCGGTATTTGCATAGAGCGTTCACTGCCGACGGGCATAACACTATGGATATCGTAGGCCTAGATGCGCTAGGAATGGTAGTAGTAGTCTTCGCTGTGTCGTTTGTTACCGGCCTTAATCAGGCGGTACTTTTACTTCATTATGGTGACCATGATCCGATTAATCTACGGGAGCTGGCTGTGCGCTCTGTAGCCTTTTGGTTTTCTTTTCTAGGTCTCTCCACTTGGTGGCGAAGGCGGCAGTTGCTGCTTCAAGAGCAGATACTCCGCAGAGCGCTTTTACAGCGACTCGTTCTTCGTCCGCCGACTCCGCCTCCTCATTATCTTCACTTCCATCTTCCCGACATCGACCACGACGCAGATCTTGACCCTGTTCCGCCATACGACGAGTTTGAAGTGCGGAATCTGCCTTCTCCTCGACATGCACCGACTCCTTGTCCAGAGGAGGTTGTGGCTGTCAACGAGTTGTTAAATCCTGATGTTGTTCTCGCTATCGTCGACGACGATAACGCTGAGTTCGATTTACTTTAAACTTGTTTGCTTTGTCGCAAAACAGGAACTAATTATTTAAAAAGATGTCTCTTGTCGTCGCAAAGAAACTCGAACTCGCTATCGCTGAACAGCGAGATGGGATGTATGAAGTAAAGTGGCGGAAGTATGCGGTTAAGGAGATCATAGAATACACAGAGATGTTATATGTACGAGATTGCGCCAGCTGGAGAGAGGCAGTTCTGTCGTCGATGGCTTTCTTCAAGAAGCCAAATCCTGCGACATACCTCGTCCCTATTGACACCGTGGAAACAGCATGGCAACAGATGCCCCACTTTCCCAGGTTCGAATCACCCTTCTTCTATCTGGGTCTCCATTTAGCCTATCATGGCTATCTTACTGACTTCTTCCCTAAACTTTCCCATACCTCGTCGCCACATGCTATCGCTAACTTTAATGGTTGTGATCTTCCCAGTGCCTACTATGAAGATCCTTCCCTCGACACTGTTCCCACGTTCACCGTCACTCATGACACTTTCGTCTACATCTATTATAACGTCCACCCACTCTACGATCCCTGCTTCAATGGCATCATCCCACCTCTTTGCCTTTGGAACCAGCATCTTGAGTTCCATTTCAGAGGAACTTGGGTTGACAGATCGACCGACATCAGATGTGTCCCAGGGTGGTTCCATGAATGAAGACGCGGAGGAGACAGGTTTGATAGCAACTTATTTAGGGCTATACGATGGTATCGGGATGAAGCCAATATGGGAGTTGCTGTGCGATATAACGCTGTTAACCGGCATCTTTCATGGGGTCTCGAAGCCGTTAACCGAGACTTCGCTTACTGGCCCAGAACAGAAGAGGTTTTACGCGATCTCGAACGTGTCATGGATGACTCTACTTTTGACTATCTTGCAGCACCCCGACCTCGCAGAATTCGCACCACGGCTCTTAGCCAAGCTCGTGAAGCTCGGGCCGTATGCCAAAAACTAACCTCTTCCAAGTTCGCTGGACGCACCGTATGCATCAGGCGGCCAAAACCATTCGGCAACTAATATGTGTACTTTATATGAATCTTATAATGTTTTTGAAATTCTTGTAAAGGACAAACATGTTCGTCATTCTCCTGCCTTTAATATACCATACTCTTGCGCCGATCCCTACTTGGGATTTCGTTCGGATGGAATACCGTTGCATGATTGCAACTGGAGCTTTTTAAGCTACCATTATTTTCCTCCACTAGACTTTTTAAGTCTAGAGCGCAATAATTCTTGCATCTCATCTTGGAGATTCGCTGAGAAGGGTACAAAGGCACCAGAGACAAAAATGGAGAAGAGACGAAATCCTCGTCCTTATTACAAGAATACTTGTACACGAAAACGCCGTCCATCTCAAGCTGCTAGAGCATCTGCTCGCTGACCAAAAAGGAATCGGATTCATGAATTAAATCCTCCATCCACTTCTATTCATCCGACTCACTCGTTCTTATACAAACATCTGCTTATGGACTTTTGACACTAGATGTCCGAAGGTCTTTCTAAGCAGATCCCCAAGCTCAACGGCTTGAACTGGGCCTCTTGGTCGGTTCTTATGAAAGCATACATGCAAACTCTCGGGATTATGGGAATCGTTGATGGCACTACTGCTATACCTGGAGCGGCTGCCGGACAAGCAGCTATTGATGCCTGGCATGTCTCCGATAATCGTGCCCAAGGCATTCTCACGCTTTATTGCGATCCGATGATCGCAATGTCAATTGATGCACATGCGACTGCTCATTTGAAATGGCAGGCATTAACCAATGCTTATGGTGCTCCTTTGGCCATGACAACTTTCATGGAGTTCCAGCGACTTATTCACATTCAAATCAAACCAAAGGACGACATCATGACTAAAATTGCTGAAATCACTATGCTTATTGCGGCAATCAGCGCTCAGGGCATTGCCCTTAATGATAAAATGAAAGCGCTAATTTTAGTGCATTCAATGACACAAGCTTGGGAACAAGCTCCGGTCAATATATTGTCTTCTATTGCTGCCGATCAACTTTCTCCCGATACCGTAATCCCTCGCATGAAAGAAGTCTGGGCCCATAAATCGGGCAAAACTATGCTTCCACAACAGGATAAAGCTGGGTCTTCTTCAACCCATGTTAAACAAGAATCAAATTCACTTCTTGTTACGCTTCCGTTTTCCCCTATCCCTTTTTCACGCCTTTACGGTCACGTGCGTCATGCGCCTCGTCGCGTCCCTGGTGGTTGTCGCGATACTAGGAGTACGAATGTTACGCGGAGACCTCGGATCACCCGCTGTCCAGGTATTTCCAACACCTGTCGAGACTCATCAATTGTGATCCGTCCGTGACGTTCACCGCTCTCGTGATCCCCGTGATTGTCGAGATGTCTCTTTCCTTCTCTCTGACTCTTCCTGACTCACATATGTTGCCCGTATGTTGTACTATAGTTCCGGTGTCTGGCTCCTTGCTGCGCATTGATGGCGCAGCCGGTATAGCCTTCGTTCCCTTGCCTATCCCCATCTCTGACACCGTATGACTCTTATTTATTTGACTGATTAGTTCGTTGACTGCTGCGGATACGCGTCGCGACGCGTCTGTCGCGACTGGTAGGGTACTCGTACTTAGGGGTATATTAACCCACGTACTTTACCTTGTATCCTCAGTTTTTCGATAGCCTGCAACTGAGCTAATAACTTTGCTTTAATCCTTGTTCGGCCTCCGTGCGATTAACCTTAACGGTTTCGCCAGTAGAAAGAACCTCTGTCGGATTCTCGCAATACCTCAGCCATAGGGGTTACGACAAGTTCAGCCCGTGGACTCCCACCTCGCGCGCTTCGTGCCTATTCCATTTGAAGAAGTCACCGCGCTCGGGCATAACAAAATCGAAAAACTCAACGCAGCTTTCGGGACTCGTCGACCTCTTCGCAAAAGTCTACTCGTCCCTGGTTACTGAACTTCAACAAACCAACGACTTACCAAACAAGGCTCGTCGGTCTCCCTACGCGTAAAGACTAACTCGCCTTCGTCAAACAAAAGCGGAGTTCCTCAACTCGTACTTCCAACGAAGTCGATAACAAAATTGAGAAGCACCCTGCTACCCTTAATCAAATCCACCGCTCTACAGGCAGCCACTAGGCTTTAATAGTCGCCTCCCTTGAGCTTGTCCTCACGACGCGCTCGTCGTTCCCTACGTGTAAAACGACTCGCGCTCAACCTCAACACACCGACAGGTTTCTTTCGAGAAATAAATCCTCCCTCGGTCTTCGTTGTCACTATCCGTCAAAGTGTCAAACTCAGAAAGGTCGAGACCACCAGTTCCCCCGCGTCCACCGCTAGGACTTGGTAGGAACCCGCCCTTACCGCCAATCCCGCTAGGAAGACTTGGGCCGTCAGCCACAGCAAGTAATCCTAGGTT